AGAACAGGCAGATCTATGGAAATACACTGCTGAAGGGAGCAGTGAGCGAGGCAGGAAAGGTCTGCTGCACCATGTGGGTTGCTCCCTGGCCCGCTGGGGATTGAACTTGTGCTGCAGTGTCTGGTGATAGCTTGATAGTGCTGTCTTTACCCCCTGTTCCACCAGGGAGGCCCTGCTTTCTGTTCTTACAGTCTATCTTTTCCATAATGTCCTATACATGGATTCATCCATTATGAAGCTCTTTGAGTCCTGATTCTTCCTTTGCTCATATGGACATTTGATACCCATCTGTGTTGCTGTGTGTGTCAGTACCAGTAGCTCATCACTTTTTACTACTCCACAATTCATTTGTTCATGACTAGCTAAAGAACAGTTGATTATTTCTAGTTTTTGGTGAATCTCAATAAAACCACTAAAATATTCACCTGCAGGGTTTTTTTTTGATGAGCACATAGTTTCATTTTTCTTGAGTAAATACATGAATGTGATTACTGGGTTGTATAGTAAGCATATGTTTAACTTTATTAAAAAATTGCCCAATTATTTCCAAAGTGAACAGTGTATGAGAATTCTAATTGCTCTGTTTCTTATTAGCACTTTACTAAGTGCTAATAAAGTAAGTTTTTATTATTATTTTAAACATTTTTGCCATTCTGATGTGTGTGGAGGATTTTTTTTTTTTAAGATATTTTTTCCCTTTTTTTATTTTTAAGATTTATTTATACAAGAACTGGGGTACAGGTCAGAGGCGTGGGAGAGTGAGAGGATTCACCAGAGACAGAGTGGGGAGCAGAACAGGCAGATGGACATAAGACACTATTGAAGGGAGCAGCGGACAAGGCAGGAGAGGTCTGCAGGTCTGCTGTGCCATGTGGGTTTCTCCCTGGCTGGCGGGGAATCAAACCCAGGATGCAGAGGCTGTGGACAGTTTCACAGTGCTGCACTCAACCTGCTGCACCACCGGGGAGGCCCTGTAGCGGGTTCTTATTGTGGTTTTATTATTTTGTATTTTCCTAGTGACTAATACCGAGCATCTTTTCAATAGATTGTTATTTAGTTGTGGGAGATTTTAAATACATTCTAGCTGCCATCCTTAACTTAATGTCTTTTGTAGCTATTTTTTCCAGTCTGTATGTTTTCTTTTTTTTAACATTGTCTCTTGAAGAGTGGATTTTTAATTTTGATATGTACAAAATTAAATTTTTTTCTTTTATGTTTTATGATTTTTGTGTTCTATCTTAAATGTTTGCTTAATCCAGTGTTCCAAAGATTATCCCCTTCGTTTTCTCTGGAAGGTGTACTGTTTTCGCTTTTACATTTAGGTCTGTTATCCATGTTGTTTTTGTATATTGTGCAATGTGAGAATCAGGTACCCTTTTTTTTTTTTTTTTTGCATTTCGATGTTCTGTTATCTGGTATACATGGTCTCTTTCCTTAGTATTAGGGAAAAATATAAGCTTCAGTGGTTTTAAACAAGAGCTGGTAGTGCCTTTTCCACAAAGTACTCTTAATACTATCTGTAATAAACACCCTCTGCTTGTTGTTTTTTTTCTTTCTTAGTTAATATTTTATCATATGTTTGGTTAAAATTTTGAGGCCTTTTTCTTAAGACAAAAGATCTAGGTCACTGGTATTTCTTGGTAGAAATTAAAATGACACCCAGGTCTTTCTCCCCATCCCCCAATAGTTTACTCTTTAACCTTCATTTTGGCAGGGGTTATGGTTATTTTTAGAGTACAGGCAGTAGAGCTAATCTAATTAAACTTCCCAGCTACCTGGGGCAGTGAGCTCATCAGCTCTTCCAGTTTGATTTGCCTGGGCTCGGATTTTACATGGAATTTAAGGTAAAAATAATTTATTGGGAATGTAATGCATTAAAGAATGATGAGAATGCCTTAAGTTTGGGTTAAGTTAGGTCCCTAACTTCAGATTATAAAACAAGGTGGCATTCTTTAGTGGTTGAAGAGGTTGTAGAGTAACTGCTGCTCTTGACACGGACAGAGTCTGAGCATCTTAGTCTGCTGTGATTCTGGCATTCACTCTAACTCCTGCCCCAGAGTGGAGATGGTTTTAAATTTCTTCATTTTGGCTGAAATTTATATGATAAAAATAACAGTATATCTCCAAAGTGTAATTGTTTTATTATTGTCATCATTTCTTGGTTTTCTAGGGGAGTTATCTCCCAAAATAGGTATGATTGCAGTCCAAGAGGTATGGAAGATGATCCAGTGGTATACAGAAAAAGGAATGTTAAATAAAGAAGTTTCTATTTTTCAAGACAAGTTTAATATTTAATGAGAATTGATTGTGTGTGTACATAGGTATTGAGGGTTCATGCTCAAAGTCTTCACTGATAGAGGTTCATAATCAGTTTGAGACCGCTGCTCTAGCGCATCCTCTGCACAAGTTTTAACATATAATTCTATTCATCTTTACCACCGCTGGAATACAAGTAATGTGACAAAAAAAAAGATGAAATCAAGGGAAGATTAAGTAGCTCATCCACAGTCACAAAGTATGCTGATAGCTTAGCTGATACTAGAGCCCTGGACTCTTTAATTTTCATTCTAGGAGTAATTTTGCTAAATTCAGTGGCCCCTACAGTGTGACCTTTAGAAGCCCTCTGCTTATCAAGTCAGTGATTAAACAGAGTTACATAAGCATTCACGAGCTTTTTTCTGTTTCTGAATTTAGACGTAAAGTCTCTCAGCTTCTTCCCTCAAAGGATAGCGATCCCTTCTTTCAGGACCTTAAGCCAGTTTCCCCAGATGATGATTTCTGCACCGTGGGTGTGGGTGACTCTCATGGGAACTTTTTCTACTTCTCATACCTGGTCATCTAGGCTGGCAAAGCAAGTGGGTTTTCTAGTCCCATTATAAAACTAAAGTTCCATTAGTCTGGGCTTGTGTGGAAGTGGATGAGGAAGGTTCTCTGGAGTGCTTCTTTTTTTTTCTTTTTTTTTAAGATTTATTTATTTTATACAAGCACTGGGTACAGTCAGAAGTGCGGAAGGGTGAGAGACTTCACTAGAGCCAGAGCAGGGAGCAGAACAGGCAGAAGGACCGAGGTACACTGCTGAGGGGAGCAGCGGGTGGCAAGAGGGGTCTGCGCGCCATGTGGGACCCTAACCCGGTGGCCGGGGATTGAACCGGTGCTGCAGAGGCTGCGGGCAGCTTTGCAACCCAGCACTCAACCGCTGCGCCACCAGGGGAGGCCCTTTTTTTTTTTTAAGATTTATTTTTATTTATACATACAAGAACTGGGGTGTAAGCCAGAGGTGGGGGTGTGTGTGAGAGGATTCACCAAAGAGTCGGGAGCAGAACAGGTAGATCCTGTGAAATAAATACACTGCTGGGGGAGCAGCGGGCAAGACAGGAGAGGCCTACTGCGCCATGTGGGTTGCTACCTCGCTGCTGGGGATGGAACTCGTACTGCAGTGGCTGGTGATAGTTTGATAGCGCTGTCTTTAACCCCTGTGCCACCAGGCCTGAAGGAGGTATTTATTGCTTAGATGTTCAACAGAGCTTAGATGTTCAACAGGGCTACTGAAAAGGGGGAGAAAAGTCTATGAGGAATACTGCACAAAAATACATGAATCTAAGTAGGAGGAGGAAAACAGCCTGCTTGCAATAGCTCTTTACTGTTTCTCATTCTGTGGCCTTACATATTTTTGTTGGTGTTCTTTCATCATCACTCTTCCAGGTATCCTTTCCTTCAAGTATAGCTTGGGTCTTGCTCTTACATTGTTTCTCTCCTGTTCTGGCTTATTCTGAGCAATCTTTTTTTTTTTTAAAGATTTATTTATTTATTTATACAAGCGCAGGGTACAGTCAGAAGTGCGGGAGGGTGAGAGAATTCACCAGAGCCAGAGCGGAGAGCAAAACAGGCAGAGTGACGAAGTACACTGCTGAGGGGAGCAGTGGGCGGCAGGAGAGGTCTGCTGCGCCATATGGGACCCTCGCCCGGAGGCCGGGGATCGAACCGGCGCTGCAGATGCTGCGGGCAGCTTCGCAGCCCAGCGCTCAACTGCTGTGCCACCGGGGAGGCCCACTCTGAGCACTCTTGAGGCAGTTGTCTGTTGGCAGAGGACCCCTTTTTTGTAGAGGGGAGTAGGGGGTAAGGATCAGGATGGGGCTGCTTCTGGGATAATTGTTATGGGAATGAAAGGGCTGTTGAAAGATTAGAGGCCAGTGTGCCTGGGTACAGGGACTGGAGTCATAATCATACTTTGTCTTTAACCACTGCCTTTTGTCCAAGGCACTGAAAGGGCTTTACAAAATTCTGGTCTGAATAATATTATTATTTGCTCTTTGGAATTTGCTCGAGGTAGACTAGAGGCCTTGAATAAATGTTACAGTAGATAAAGGAAAAAAGCTTTGGTACCCTGATCCCCAGTTGGGGCTTTGCCAAAAAAGAGGGATCTGGCCAAAGTTGGTGGAATTAAATGAAATAGTGTTTGCCATTTTACCCCAAGAATTTGATTTTCTGTATCTCTGTTGATTTGAATGTAAAATGATATTCACAGTCTGACCCATCCCTTTGTGTTGTGAAGACAGTGATCCACAATAAGAGTTTGTGGATACATGTGACTAATATTTATAATATAAGATTCATGCCTATAGGGCAATGCTGAAGCTAACTTTTTGTATTGAATTAAGGCTCTCTGCCTTAATTGAAATACCTGTCCTTTTATACATGCCTGCTGTTCCAAATTTTATTTAAGTTCACTCTTTCCCATTTGTAAAAGCACTGACAGGTACTTGGTGAATAACATAGAGAGATGACATTTGACCTCCCAAAGTTATGTCCCTTCATGGAATTTAGACATATCAGGGGAAATCTGATATGATTTTTAGTTATTGTGAAGCCCTATTGAGCACACACCTAAAGCTGATTTTTTGTAAAAATGACAGTGGCTGTATACTGTTAACTCTCCTTGTCCCTTACCACCTTTCCCAGATTGTTTCCTAATTGTTTCATTTTCTTCCTCCCAAATTCAGGCTGGCTACAATCAATAGAATTCAAGATGTCCAGCAAAGGGAGCAGCACAGATGGCAAGACAGATTTAGCTAATGGTAAGATGCCAGATGGAGGTGAAGCTATTTCTGCTATCAAGTGAGGTTCTCCTCCCCCAGAGAGAGTGGAGACCTGGATTTTAGAGGAGAAAATCTTTGCTAAGAGTGACCTTCCTGTGTTGTAAGTATAGGAAACCCACGTAGGAAGCACCTTGGACTGTCAGGTGCTTCTGTTCCTTTAGCTTTTATCTGGTTGTCTTCAGGAGATTAGCAGTAGAGTTGTGCTTCTTAAAGAGGTTAAGTGGTTTGGAATTCTGAAAACTGGTAAGGGTGGACAAAGTTAGGAGATACTGTTATTAAAGGATAAAAAGTAGACCCTATTGGTGGTAGGAAAGGGAAAGGTGAGATTTCCCCAGTGATAATGAAAAGTCTCCTTCCTTTGGTAGAGACAGGACAAGAGATACAAGATGAGAGGAGAATTGGGGCCTTCTTTTTTTTAAGACCAGTGCTGCCAAGTGTGAAATCATTGGGTCTAGGACAGATTCAAAGTAGAATATCTAGATTCTGATAGGCTATAGCTACTTGCTGGTTCCCCCCTCCCCCCAAAGATTTATTTATGCATACAAGAACTGGGGTACAGGCCAGAGGTGTGGAGTGTGTGAGAGTGGATTCACCAGAGACAGAGCGGAAAACAGAACAGGCAGACTGACTGAAATACACTACTGAGGGGAGCAGCAGGCGAGATAGGAGAGGTCTGCTGTGCCATGTGGGTAGCTCCCTGGCAGGTCGGGGATGGAACTTGTGTTGCAGAGGCTGTGGATAGCTTCCTAGTGCTGTGATTAACCCTTGCACCACCAGGGAGGCAGGCCTTACTTGCTGTTTTTTTTGACTAGTGCCTCAACTCTGAGCTAACTTCTAAACTAGAGAAACGTCCTTCAAGTAGGTTGGATAGCATGGCGTCCTTAGCACCTTCAGGTCAGGATTAGAGGCTGAAATTCTAGTTGATGTGATGAGTAGAACAGTGAAGTTAAGGAAGGGAAAGTGATATTTTCAATATGTCCCTTTGTTTTTTTCCTTACCAATGCTTTCATTCATTTTCTGTAAAAGAAAATAGTTCAAATTTTTCTCTGGGCTTAATTGAAAGGCACAAGGGTTCTAGAGGAATTTGAGTTATACAATGGATATGGTGTTTGACCATTAGCTGGATCAGGGATTGACAAACTAGGGCATTCAGGCCAAATCCAGCCTGCCACTGTTTTTATGAATTTACTGGACCCCAATCTTCCTGTTTTTTTTCCCCCACCCCCCGTAGTATTTGTGGTGGGGTGTGTGTATGTGCGTGTTTTTTTTTGCTACATCTGTGGAGTCGAATTGTTGGGACAGAGATCCATATTGCCTGTGAAACCTCAAACTTTTACTGTCTGGTCTTTGACAGAAAAAAAATCTTGATTATAGACTGTTAGGGATCTCCTGCTGAACTTTTGATGTGCTCTGGCCCTTATGTTAATGTGATAAGGCCTGCAAAGTACTCTTCATTTATAAATCATAATTTTAACAATGCTATGAGTTTTGACGTTTTTCCTTTTTCATGGAAGTGATGGGTGTGATATTTTATCCCTGCTCACCACTCCCAATCTCTGACAGTTGTATTTCAAAAACCACAATTATTAATCTTTCCCAGCATATATATACCAGTCTGAACAAATGTAGTGCTCAGGAGCAAATTGCTGTACTTTTCCCTTTTTCATCCAGTTCTTAGCCAGGTTATTTTCATACTGAGCTTTTAGTTGAGGTGCTATTTAAAAAGAGCTGTTTACATGTCTCCCAGCCTTTTGTCACTACTTGAACCAAAGCACTTGTTTTCTGTATTGGGTTTTGTCTAAGAGTTTACTGAAAAGGAGTTCTGTTGCTTAGAAAGTGATTAGTTATTACTGCTCTAATCCAACAACTAAGCAGTAAGGTACCTTGACTTTGATTTGACTCCTTACCCATCAGTGTGGTATTAGAGTGGAATAATTCATCCAAAGTCACATGTGGCTAGTCAGCCTTTTTTTTTTTTTAAAGATTATTTATGCATGCAAGAACTGGAGTCTAGGCCAGTAGTAGGGGAGGTGGTGGTGGTGAGAGGATTCACCAGAGACAGAATGGGGAACAACAGGTGGGTTGACTGAACTACACTGCTGAGGGGAACAGCGGGTGAGACAGGCAAGGTCTGCTGTTCTGTGTGGATTACCTCCCTGGCTGGCCAGGGATTGAACTCGTGCTATAGTGGCTGCGGGTAGCTTCATAGTGCTGTTAAGGTACAAACTTAACCCCTTGCATAGTCTGCTTTTTCTGACCACCTTTCCTTCAGACAACATACAGTTTGTAGTCTTCTGAGGAAAGCATCCATGAGCACTATGTAAAATTTTTTCTCCTCTTCCTTCTCACCTGGACCTTAGGTTGGCATTGTGGTCATACTGGCTCTGGAACATTGCCATAGACATAATTGGAGTATGGTTTGTCATTGTCAGCTGAGAGACTACAGTATCTAATTGTAGGTAGTTTGATCACTAAGAGTGCCCTGGTTATAGCTAACCTGGTGACTGTGGAATATGTTGCTGTGCTTTTCTCTCATAGTAGCCCTGCTTTTTTTTTTTTTAATCAATCTTTTGTATGTTTCTGTTAAAAATTTGTCTAAATAAAGAATTTCTATAGTATTATATTGTTGGAAGTCAGAATATGTTTATTAAGAAAAAGTAAACAATGAACCATTCAAATGTTCACAGTTCCCATTTGGCTCTTCTACTTTCTTCTGGGTTCTTAGTGGCTTTAGGACCTTGCAGGGAGAAACTTCAGAATTTAGGATGCATGAAATGTTGTAATGGTGCTTTCTCAATATGGGTCCAACTTCACATCTGCTATCAGAATGGTTTCAGTCAGTTATTCTCAAGGCTTTTCTAAGAAGATGGCTATGCCAACTCTTACTTGGGGGAGTGGGGAGTGACTTAATTATTTGCTGTAATTAATAGATGCCCATGCAGCAGAACAGAGCCTCAGGTAGTTGTAGCAGGCATACTTTCATACAGTCTGCCAATGCTTGGCTTCTTGAGGATTTAGAATAATATTTGGTTGCCCTGCAGTTCTCGTGTGTAGGGGTGTGTGGAGGCTTTGATCTTGATCTTTTTAGTTTCTTGTCCAAGATTTCCCCTTGGAAGATAATTTTTATAATCATTTGTGGTGAAAACACTTTGACCAGAGTTGGATTCTTGATCTTTTGATGTGATGATTTCTTAGGCTAAGGAAGGAAAATATCTCTGACAATATCCTATTTCTTTAATCTCCCTTTACCTACCCATTCCTTACTAACATGCAGGAAGCCTGTCAAGCAGTCCAGAAGAGATGTCTGGAGCTGAGGAGGGGAGGGAGACATCCTCAGGCATTGAAGTGGAGGCCTCAGACCTGAGCTTGAGTTTAACTGGGGATGATGGTGGCCCCACCCGCACCAGCACGGAAAGCCGAGGCACAGATACGGAGAGCTCAGGTGAAGACAAGGACTCAGACAGCATGGAAGACACTGGCCACTACTCCATCAATGATGAAAACCAAGTCCATGACCACTCAGAGGAAGAGGAGGAGGAGGAAGAGGAAGAGGAAGAGGAGGAGGAAGAGCATCCTCGACGCCGAGTACAGCGCAAGCGGGCCAACCGTGAGCAGGACTCGTCAGATGACGAGAGGGCCCTAGAGGACTGGGTGTCTTCAGAGACATCAGCCCTGCCCCGACCTCGCTGGCAAGCCCTCCCTGCCCTGCGGGAGCGGGAACTGGGTTCAAGTGCCCGCTTTGTATATGAGGCCTGCGGGGCCCGAGTGTTTGTGCAGCGTTTCCGCCTGCAGCACGGGCTTGAGGGCCACACTGGTTGTGTCAACACCTTGCACTTTAACCAGCGTGGCACCTGGCTGGCCAGTGGCAGTGATGACCTGAAAGTGGTGGTGTGGGACTGGGTGCGGCGGCAGCCAGTGCTGGACTTTGAGAGCGGCCACAAAAGTAATGTCTTCCAGGTGAGGCAAGGGGGCAGAACAGCAGTGGAGAAAAGCAAGCATGAGTTAGAACAGCTTGAATTGCTACCTGGAGAGGGTGCTGACAGCGGGGTTGTTAGGACACATCTGTACTTGGTCTTACTGTGCTTCCTATTCTGATGTTGAGGAGTTCAGGATGCTGAGAGCCTGTGCAACCTTTTGTTTCCTTGAGCGTTCAAGGGAGTTCATTGTAGGTGGGGTGCTTAGAGCTCATCAGGAAGTACCATGTGTGCCTCAGGAGGAGGCAGGTAATGTCAGAACCAAGTCTCGTAAGCCACGCTGCTGGGTTTTAATCCTGGTCCTACCTCTTACGAGCTGTGTGATCTTAGATTACTTAATCTCTGTCTTCAGTTTGTTTATAGTGCAAGACTAATAACATTGAGGTTATAAGGATTAAGTAATAGAAGCTAAATGATTAGAATCATACCTGAGAGCAAATAAACATTTGGTAAATATAAGCTGATCCTGATATTCTGGACATTTTACTCAGCCCCTCTCATCATATAGATACTAGCCTTTTATCCTTAAGCGCTTTCATGTTCCTTCTCTATCATCTCCTGTAGCTTTCCTTTCTCTTTGTAGCAAATTTATGTTTGCTTCCTGAGTCAAGATAGATTTTCCTTTTTTTCTTCTTTGTTCCCTGGTTGGCATAGACGTAATTTCATCTGAGTACTGACATTGTACAGTTTAGCCTTCCCAAGGCAACTGAAATGCTCTCCTATAACGGCTACTTTTTCCTCTTCTTTCTCCCCTTTAACTTTTGAAAGAAATTGGATTGTAGCCAAGTGTTTAAGAGTAGGAAAGCCAAGTTTCTAGCTGTTGTGTCATAAAAGGGGACAAGTTGGGGTTGTCATCACATTTTTCCTCTCAAATTCACCTCCTCAATTTCTTTTTGTTTGTCCCATTTTTCATTGTTAACACCCCAGGCAAAGTTCCTTCCCAACAGCGGTGATTCCACCCTGGCCATGTGTGCCCGTGACGGGCAGGTGCGGGTGGCAGAGTTATCCGCCACACAGTGCTGCAAGAATACCAAGCGAGTGGCCCAGCACAAGGGGGCGTCACACAAGGTAAGTGAGCTCTGCTCAAAGGGTATGCATCCACTCTTCTGCGGGTTTTAGTCTAAGCTCTGCTGCATTTCTGCCATGGCATTCCTTGCGGTGGGTACCTAACTTCTTTCAGCAGTAAGGTTTGTAGATTAGAGGGGAGAAAAGGCAGCCACCTTAAATTTATTGGAATTGCTGGATCAGTTGATTATATCTAACCATGATTGATCTGGAGACCCTTAAATCTCCTTTGCCTTCTGAATCTTTTATATTGTCTTTGATTGTATTTAGAACATCTTAACAGCTCTCAAGTGCTAATGGTTGGCTCCTCATACACTAGAGCTCCAACTCTTCTGCTCATAGCTCTCAGTGCACAAGTAGCTATTTCTGGAAACCCTAATTTAGAGCTGGAAATACAGGCCAGATAGTCATGGCAGCCAGTGAGGAGCTAGGAGCTGCCGAGTCTCTGAGTAGGTACCATGTTCTTCCATGCCAGCGGCAGCAGGGTCATCTCTTCTTACAACCCTGAGCCAAACGTGTAGGTGGAGCCCTAGGGTATCCTCTTCTAGCCTATGTGGCTCAGGAAATGTGAAAGTTACCTATTTTTTAAATTTTTAATCCTCCCAGTCCACTAAGTAGGTAATTTTTAGAATGTAGAGGAATGAGACTCAGATACCATTTCTCTCCCATTGTGGAATTGATTTATTTAAGAATGAGCCCTAATGGCTGATAAATTTTCCTTTGGTATTACTGTTCAAATCCCTTGGAGACTTAGTTAAAAGAGCATATCACCTGTCTTTTTGACTTGTATAAACAAATTGCAAATAATTCACACAGAACAAGAGAGAATGAGCTCAAATGACCTCCTTTCCTGGGATTTTACAACAAAAAAGACAGACATTTCTCTTGGTGAACATTTTAAATGAAGCCCTTCCCAAGGTAGAGGAATGAATTGGACGACCTCTAACCTAAATCTTTAGAAACCTCACCCTTCCCTTTCTCCTTCAGTTGGCCCTGGAACCCGACTCTCCCTGCACGTTCCTATCTGCAGGTGAAGATGCAGTTGTTTTCACCATCGACCTCAGACAGGACCGGCCAGCTTCGTGAGTATAATAGTAGTTAACAGAACTGGGTCCCATGTCCTAGGTAATGCTCACTCTTTGGTCTGTTGGACTCTTCCCTTTGTGCCTGTGATAAGAAGCGGGTTAAGGTTGAAGTAAGGTTAGTCTTAATTTGTGGTGGTTTCCCAGCATTGCAGTACTGTTCAGGATGGGCATTAATAACATGTGATCTTCACTCACTTGGGTGCAACTCAGCCTACCCACTAGAAGCCTGTTACTCTACACAGTAGCTTAGAGATATGAACCTCTATCATTTTCAGTTCAGTTACTTAGAGAAACATGAAGGCAATTCTGTGATAAATCCTGAACAAAAATATCTGGAGGTCTGTCATCCCAGTTCATTTTTCTATGAATTCTAGACTTATCAATTATTTCCTTTTCAGCTGTGTGATAGCATAAAAAGAACATAGCATGTAGTTTGAATCCAGGTCAGACCGAGGTTAAATTTCAACTTGGGCAGTACTAGTTATGATCTAACCTTTTTGGACCTTAGTTTTATCAACCTCACTATGGGCATAATCAGTTGCCTCTCAGTCTCTGTCTTTATCTCTTGTTGCTATAAGGATGATTGATCAATGTGTTTGATGCCTGGTATCTGATGACATTGTAACTAACTACTGTTACAATTATTTTAGTTTCTTTTTTAAAATTACCAAAATAAAAACAAAACTCTCCTGCAACCAGAACATGCTATCCCTAATCGAAGATGTTGCAATGAAGTATTTAGGCTAAAAATTTGGGGACACATTTTTCATTATAGCATAGGGTGGGTATGTGCGTGTACACAAACGGCATTGGGTATGTCTTCTTTTTATAAAGTTCTTCGAGCTTTTAAAAGTACTGTGTATAGCTTGGTAGTGCCACATGCTGTATTTTTTTAAATTTGCAACTTTTCCAGAGTTTCTGCATTTTACAGTTTCTCAATTAGATTATTTCTAGTGGAACTGTAATTTGAATGCATTGTTCTCCGGGCTGTTTGTGTAAGAACTTAGGTTTCATTATTTTAAAACTAACTTAAAAAAATGCCTGAAATATTATGACTACATAGAAATAAAAACCCCTTAATAGCAACATAAAAAGTAAGTTTTTAATTTTATAAAAAAGTCATCTTAATATAAAATTTAAATGTAAATTATATGGATAAAATGCAAATGCTTCCTCATGCACTGTGCCCTCCTCTCCACTACTCTAGCTATTGGTAAACATTGTTAAAAAATTCTAAGTATCTTTTTGTATTCTTTTTTATCTTTATATATATCTATTTACTTTTCTCATAAATGGTATAATTTATGTATGTATAAAGAAACATTTGTATATGTTCATGCAATTTGCTTTTTTTAAATGTGTGTTGGAAATGTTTCTATGTCAAACTCTGAAGGCCTACCTCATTTTTAACCATGACGTATGGTAGCAGCATTGGCATACAACAGTTTATTTAACCAGCTACCTTGTGATGTATTGTCTAGATTACTTTATTGTCTTGTCTTAAAATTACTTTAATAAAATCTTGTCAGTGTCAATATTGAGTAAAGGTTGTTACTGATTTACATAGCATCCAAGTAAAATATGAATTAACTTAAGGAATATAATCTTTAGGCTGATTATTAGACTTTATTTTTAGGGAAATAAGTATAGGAAAAATTGTCCGCAAAGTGGAGGAGTTTCAAAAACTGCTTAAGTAATGGAAGTTTTGGCTTAGGGAAAAGCTATATTGTTTCCATAAGTAAACCTTAAAGATGATGAAGGTGGGGGGCATGGGGTTATCTTTTGGGAATTGGAACAAGCCAGGGGATAAGGGATCTGCCACCTGATAGTAGCCTTCAGAAATCCAGCTGTGGGAAATATCTGAATCTCTCCAGCAGAATGATAATTGTTATTTTCATTTTTCAAGTTCCATGGTTTTGTGATGATCATGGAACTCTGGCAAGTTCTGTAGTAGGGAGGGGAAGGACAAAGATGCAAAAGTTATGTGAGTTGGTTTGATGTGCTCTGGTGGTAGTTGTAAAGCTGACTGTGAGAACATAACCTGCAACTTGGTGGAAAACCACTATTGGGACGCAAGGTATTGGTAGCCTGGCTCAGTGGTGGGCAAAGTAGGTGATGTTGGCCATGTCTTGAATTTGCAATGAAGCAAAATGGGCAGAAATTATAGCTGAGAGTGGAACAGTGGGTGAAAGCAGTGATAGATGAATGGGACGGAAACTAAAAGGGAGACACAGAAGGAACTTAGAGTAGGAGGAGCTCAAATTCTAGATTTGGGAAATCAGAAACAGCCTTCAAAAAGTTTTTGCTTTAGGGGAATGAGGTGGGGGACTGAGCGAAAAAGCCATGGCCAGAAATTCTAAGCTGTCCTTATGTGTTAAGCTAGTCCCTGAACATCTGCTTATGTCAGAAGCATTTTTGCGTGAAGTTGGCATGGGGGAGTTTTCTTTTGCCTCTATGAAAGGCGAGTCTTTGGAAGCTGGGATGTTGGCTAACATCTCAGGAAGAGAATTGGACTATAGGTGGAAGCCAATTTGAGATACTCTTGAAAGGAGTCATTTGATCATAATTATTTTTCCCTTTTTGCTGGAACATGCCTGCTCATTAAAATGCTGCATGTTTTAAGGTAAAATTTGGTAAATTTGTTTCATATGGTTTCCATGTATCACTGCCCTTTGATGTGAAAAAATTTTTTTCATAGTGCCATGATTACTCACTTAAAGCATCTCTGCATGTTCCTGAGTAAGCTAAAGTGCTCTGCATTCATCCAGTGGGAGAGAGAAGTGTTTGTTTTAGGTGACTAAATAGTGGCATAGAGTGAGTTCTTTATCAGGAATATGTGACACTTCAGCCAAACTTGTGATTCTTGGTTTTGTTTCCATGTAGTACCTTTCATATTCATCTGAACCTCCTGAGAATCCATGGGGATAGTCCTGTGGAAGGGGCAGATGCTGCCCCCTCCTTGTCTAAACTAGTTGAGAGCTGTCCATTTTGTGCTTGGAACTCTTTGATATGACTTCTGCTTGTGTTAATGAGGTTTCTTGTGTGTTTTCCTTAAAGATGTTCATTTTTAATGATTTTTGTCATAATTTTTAATAGAAGATTGCAGAGATTTTAAAATCAGTCTCACTACTTTTTCTAGAACAATTCTAGGTTAGAATGATTTTAACTATATAGAGAGGGTGCTGAAATCACTTCTTTACAAAGAAACTCATTATCATGATTATCATGATTAAATTTCTTTCAATTTCCACAGCAACAGAAATGAGCAAAATCATAGAATTAAAAACAAAAGCTAAAGCCCAACTCCATCCTATAGTTTTTGACGTCTGTCCTTTTCTTTAAATTCAGTAGTTTTATGATGTCATATTTGACTTGTTGGATACTTAGATTTGGAAACAGTATTTATAGCACCTGCCCTTAGGCTGGGGCAAGTTAGGACTCATTTGCCAGATTCTTCAGGTTAACATAAAATTGGAATTGGATAGGGCTTCAGGACCCTATGCCCTCCTAAGCATCACCTTTTTTTTTTTTTTTAAGATTTATTTATTTAGGCAATTTAGGCATACAAGAACTGGGGTGCAGGCCAGAGGTGTGAAGGGTGAGAGGATATACCAGAGACAGAGTGGGGAACAGGCAGATTGACTGAAATACACTGCTGAGGGGAGCAGCGGGCAAGTCAGGAGAGGTCTGCTGCACCATGTGGGTAGCTCAAACTACTGGCCGGGGATCAAACTTGTGCTGCAATGGCTGCGGATGGCTTCATAGGTTGCATCTTAACCCCTTGCGTCCAGGGAGGCCCACCTTTTTTTTTTTTTTTTTTTTTTTTGGTAGTATAACTAGAAGAATAATTTTGAAATGATTTTTTTTTTTAAAGATTTATTTATTTTATTTATTAATCAAGCACTGGGTACAGTCAGAAGCACGGGAGTGTGAGAGAATTCACCAGAGCCAGAGTGGGGAATAGAACAGGCAGACTGACGAAATACACTGCTGAGGGGAGCAGCAGGCCCGGCAGGAGAGGTCTGTCGCCATGCGGGACACTTGCCGGGCGACTGGGAATCAAACTGGCGCTGCAGAGGCTGTGGGCAGCTTCGCAACCCAGGGCTCAACTGCTGCGCCACCATGGGAGGCCCTTGAAATGATTTTTAAGCTTTAAAAATGGCTCTCTTTCTAAGAACCTCTCTCCTAATTTGTGTCAGACAAGAGAAGGATGGTGTTTTCCTTTGGATTGCCCTGTACTGGAAAACTTGAATTTGAAAAGAAGAGTTATTTACTTGGATTGCCATTTTTCAGTGGTGATGCTTTCTGGAATCTGGGAGGTAGAATATGATCTTGAGGTCTTTTCTGTCGTTTGTTCAGATGATTCATCCCCCATATAATCTCCCAAGTAATTGGGAAGATGATTTATAATTAAAGGTGGGAGATGTGGGTAATATTTTTTGTTTAGAGATTGTTATGTTGGACTGCAGCTGAACTGAGTCTTCCTGAGAACAGTACTCCATATACATATACTTATATGTCTTGAGGAACATTGGAAAATGACTTCTCTGTATGTTTTCTTTTCCACCCTCAAAGTAACAGATGGGAAATATATGTGGAGGTGGGTTTTGTCTTTTCTTGTTTCCAGTGTTCAAAACAAATCACTTTTTCTTTTTTTCCAAATGAGAATGTTTAATTCCTTAGTATCCATGTCTACATTATTCTGTCTACTCTCAGTTGCCATGACCCATTGAATTTTGGGACAAATTATAACTTTTTCTGCTTTTCTGCTCTTCAAGGAAACTGGTGGTGACAAAAGAGAAGGAGAAGAAAGTGGGGCTGTATACAATCTATGTGAATCCTGCCAATACCCACCAGTTTGCAGTAGGCGGAAGAGATCAGTTTGTAAGGTGAGTCTGTGGTTCTTTTATGTTTGAGAGTTTGCAACCCTGATGCATTGTACCACTAGTTTTCCTGTATGGGAAGATACGAATTGTCTGGGAATCCATTGGGCCCACCTTACTGATTTTTTTACCATCTTCCAGAGAGCTTAAACTCGTGAGGCATTCTATTTCCTAATGAAACAAACTGAAACATAAAGATTATCAAGTTTTAAAGAAGTTAATGATTTGATCAAGGTCCCCATATAACAGCTAAGGTATAAACTCAGGTTTACTAGTGAGTCTATATTAGTCACAATCAGCACAATTTTTAATATATGAATGAACATAGCACTAGAAATTTTGAATGCTGGTTTTAGATTCAGAAATGATTTGACTTGGGAGTACTCAGTGTGAATTCAGGATTTTTAGCACTCATTGCCCTGAACCATTTTTTTAGTTTTTGCCCAGCTGACATATTTATTAGCAGGAAACGTAAGTATCATCTCTTCCCCCACACCCACAAAGACACGGGCCCCATTTTGGAAACAAGCTCTCAGGCTTTGGCAGTAGTTTGATTTGCCCCCTCAGGGTATGAGCTGCTGAATCTTTCATGACAGCTTGTTTCATGGCATCCTTCTGTAAAGCTGGCTGGATTTTCTCCATTTATTTGGTGAGGAAGTTTGTCTTCCTTTTGAAGTTCTTGGCATCTTCAACTGTCTTTCTACATAGGAGCTAGTTTCCACATAGACAGCATGTGTTCCACAACATGTAGCCTCCCAGGAACATACATAGAATTTGTTGGGGGAACAAGTAATTCTTTCCCCTCATTGCTTTTGTTCAGCATGTCCAGACAGTCATTGGCTTCTACACACTTTGAACAGAGCAATGGATGTGGACGAGAGCTCCACTTCCTGGCCCAGCTGGTTCAGTGATGTTAATTGACTGTACCATGTTGGGAAGGAGGGCTCTGAATCCCTTTTTTTTTTTTTTGTATCTGCCATGATATCTGTTACTGTGAATATCTATTGTCATACTGGCTATTAAGGCATGGCCTAAGGACAGCAGGATTTGTGGATTCAATGTGGATTCAATCTGTGTGTGTCAGTTAATTTTCTTCTGATCTTTGACAGACTGTATCTCATCCCTATCCAGATGGCCCATTTTGGCTATAGTTGTTTATTTTGGTGTTGGGTAAGGGGAGGAGGGATAGGATCTCTAAAGGAGTGACTTTTTCCTTTTTTTCAGTGGTGGGTGAAAAATATCTTGCTTTTCAAATCAGAGTACATTTTTTTTTTAAAGATTTATTTATGCATCCAAGAACTGGGGTATAGGCCAGAAGTCGGGGGGGTGGGGTGTATGAGAGGATTCAAACAGAGAAGAGTGGGGAGCAGAACAGGTAGATAGATTGAAATACACTGCTGAGGGGAGCAGCAAGTGAGACAGGAGAGGTTTGCTGTGAGGTATGGGTTAGCTTCCTGGCTGGGTATCGAACCTGTGCTGCAGTAGCTGCCAATAGCTTCATTGTGCCAAGATTTAACCCCTTGTGCCACCAGAGAGGCCCCAGAGTACCTTTTTTAATGTTAATGTAAGAATCAGGGATATAATCACATGATAGATTTTCTTACCTTGTTCAAGAATCCTGCCACCAGAATTGAGTACTTTATTATTCTTTTCTTCCTCTTTTCCTTGCCTTCCAAAGTCCTCTCTCTGTTTATCAGTAGGAAATAATGTGGCAATAGGTTTTTTTTTTTTTCTTTTCCCATAAGAAACTGTTGATCACAAAGGGTTGTCCTAATGAGAACCTTTAGGTGATGCCTCCTCTAAATTCAGCAATCCCCAGTATTTCTAATTGGGACTTCCAGCTTAGCATTATGGATTGCTTGAAAAGTCTGTGTCTCTAGATGGCTTAACTATTAGGATCTTAGTGTTTGAAGGAAAGTAGAGAAGTTGGATGTCCTGAGAATTGCAGTTGATGCTGCCCTAATCTTAACTGACCCTTTCCTGGGGTGAGAGTGAGGCTGAAAATGAACTCCACATAATGGATACTGAAGAAATATTTGCTGTGTTGAATCTTAATTCTTCCTCATTTCTTCTCACTAATTATCTTAATTTAGATTGCTCTAACAATGCTAATACTCTAGCATTTCAGTACAGGAGAGAGATTCAGACCTTATATCTCTTCCCAGCCTCATTATCCTCTGTGTTCATCCTAGATCTTAGCAGATAGTAGGCTATTTACTTGGCAGAAGCACATGCAGTTTTTAAGGGCACCAACCTTGCATGAGCAGAATGCCTTCTATGTACCTCATCTTTGACATTAGGGTCATTCTCAATTTCTGACACCTTGCTAAGTTGAATGGTTGGGGATTTTGCCTTTGTGATTCTTTCATTGAAAGAACCCAAAGAGTACAAATTTGGGTTCAAATTTGAAAATATTTTTGCTGAATATCTTATAACACTTTCAGCTTTTACTAGTAGCCTGACAGAATTTCTTTGAGGGAATACAGAGAAATAGCTAATTCATCCTCAACCCTTTTGTATCATGAATAATGAATTTTAGTTTAGGATTATGAATGGAAGCCTGGGAGAAATATGGTTTTAGGGCTGTGACCAAAAAAAAGAATGAGGAAAAAAAGGCAAGTAGAGAACATACATGTGTGAGTCGCTGTTACTGAATCCTGTTTAGGTTGGCTTAAGGGTTTATAGGAGTGAAGAAAAAGAGAATGCATCAAATGAATGAATCGTATGATGGTAGATTTAGCATTGTGATTGGCTGGCATGTGCATATATTATAAAAGGACTTTTATAATAAAGCTCAGCCTGTAAATAACCCCTTTATTCTCCTATCATTAAACTTCTGTCAGTAACAATGAGAGAACTTTGGATTAAGGTAAGTGGGGGGAAAAGAAGGTGAAAGAAGAAAGGTTTAAGGTAACAAAGTAGTGGGGTACCTGAAGACCTGTGGTGGAGGGAGATGAAATAAGGATGTTGAGACAATGCTGAAACCATCCTTTGTTTAAAATATCAAAGGCATAGGAAGACTCAATAGCTGTGGAGATAGCAGTTCTTGCCATCTTGAGCTAATGATTTAGTTCAATTCCAATCAGAATCATAGCAAGTTCTTTTATGGATATTGGCATACTAATTATAAATTTCATGTGGTGAGGCAAAAGACCCAGAATAAGAGCAAAGTTAGAAGACTCATACCATCCAACTCTCAGTTTTAAGACTTAATATGAAACTGCAGTAATCAAGAGATTGTGGTGTTGGTGAGAAACAGACATAAAGAATAGAGAACCTAGGGGCCTCGCCGGTGGCACAGTGGGTTGAGCGCAGTGCTGTGAAGCTGTCCGCAGCCTCCATGGTGCTGGTTCGATTCCCTGCCAGCCAGGGAGATTCCAACATGGCGCAGCAGAACTCTCCTGTCTCCCCTGCTGCTCTCCTCAGCAGTGTATTTCAGTCCTTCTGCTTGTTCTGCTCCCTGCTCTGCCTCTGGTGGATTCTCTTGCCCTCCCGCGTCTCTGGCCGGTACCCCAGTGCTTGTATAAATAAATAAAATCTTAAAAAAAAAAAAAAAAAGAATAGAGAACCTAGAAATAGGCGCCCCCCCCCCCCCATCAGTCACCTTTGGCAAAGAAGACAAAGCAGTTACAGTGTGGTAAATATAGTTTCTTTAATAAATGGTGCTGGGACTTGACATCCACATATGAAAAATTGGATCTAGACATAGATCTGTCATTCTTCACAAAAGCTGTCCAAAATGGATCATAGACCTAAAAGCAAAACTTGATACTCTAAAACTCCTAGAAGACAGCATAGGAGAAAATCAGTGGACGTAGTGATACCTTTTTAAATACAACACCAAAGACACAATTCGTGAAAGGAACTTTTGCTTTGTGAAAGACAATATCAAGAGAATTAGAAGATAAGCCACAAACCTGGAGAAAATGTTTGCAGAAGACACATTTGGGGCCTCCCTGGTGGCACAAGGGGTTAAGACACAACTCCGTAGCCATTGTAGCACAAGTTCGATCCCCGACCAGGGAGCTACCCACATGATGCAGCAGACCTCTCCTGACTCACCCGCTGTTCCCCTTAGCAATATATTTCAGTCAGCCTATCTGTTCTGTTCCCCACTCTGTCTCTGGTAAGTCCTCTCACCACCACCCCCACACCTCTGGCCTGTACCCCAGTTCTCATATGCATAAATAAGTAAATCTTTATAAAAAAAAGGCATTTGATAGAGGACTCCTAGTAAAATATATTTAAATATACTTTAGAACTCTTAAAACATAACAGTAAGAAAACAAGTCAACCCTATTTAAAAATGGACCAAGACCTTAACAGACACCTCACTGAGAAAGATATACAGATGACAAATAAGTATGTGAAGGAATGCCCTGCATTATGTCATTAGAGACATGCATATTAAAACAACAAACTACCCATACCTATTATTATGGAATGACTAAAATCTGAAACGCTGACAATACTAAATCCTGAAAAGGATATAGAGAAATAGGAACGCTCAGTCACTGCTGGCAGGAATGGAATATAGTACAACCACTTTGAAAGTTTTGTGGCTTCTCACAAAACAACAAACTTTTAACATGATCCAGTAATGGTATTCCTTGGTATTTACCCAACAGAATTGAAAACTGTTTCCATACAGAAACTGCTCACAGATGTTTATAGCAGCTTTATAATTGTAAAACTTGGAGACAACTAATATGTCCTTCAGTAGGTAAATGGATAAATTGTGACCCACCCAGACAATGGAATGTTACTCAATACTAAAGAAATGAGCTGTTAACCTATGAAATGACATGAAGAAATTTTAAATACATATTGCTAAATGAAGAAAAAAAAAAAACTAGTCTGAAATGGCTACATACCATATGATTACAACTATATGACATTCTGGACAAAATAAAACTATGGCTAAACAATTAAAATGATTGGTGATTGCCAGGGGTGGGGTGAGAGTCAGAGCACAAGGATTTATTTTTAGAGTAATCAAAACACTCTAATAATGTTCGATATATGTCACTCTACATTTGTCTAAACTTATACAGTGTACACCAAAAGTGAACTTTCAGTTAAACTACGAACTTGGGAGATTATACGATGTCAATGTAGGTTCATCCTGGTTTAAAAAAAAACAAATACCACTTTGGTGATTGATATTGATGAGGGAGGCCACGCATTATGTGGAGGTAGATGTGTATGGGAAATCTCTGCTGTCCTCTTAGTTTTATTGTAAACCAAATACTGCTCTAAAAAAATAAAGTATTGAATTAAAATTTTTTTTCAAGATTTATTTATGTATATAAGAACCCGCAGGCCAGAGATGCAGGGTTGAGAGGATTCACCAGAGACAGAATGGGGAGCAGAACAGGCACATGTACTGAAATACACTGCTGAGGGGGGCAGCAGGCGAGATAGGAGAGGTCTGTTGCGCCATGTAGGTCACAACCTCCGTGGCCTGGGATCTAACTCGTGCTACAGTGGCTGCAGATAGCCTTACAGTGCTGTGACTTAACCCCTTGCGGCACCAGGGAGGCCCTGAATTAAAATTTTTTTTTCTTGAAGATTTACTTATTTATATATACAAGAACTGGGGTACGGTCTAGAGGTGGGGGTGGGGTGGGGTGAGAGGATTCACCAGAGACAGAATGGGAAGCAGAACAGGCAGATCTACTGATACATTGCTGAGAGGAGCAGCGGGTGAGGCAGGAGAGGTCTGCTGTGCCATGTGGGTCTCCTTCCTGGCCAGGTTTTGAACTGGTGCTTCAGTGGCTGTGGATAGCTTCATAGGCTGGGTCTTAACCCCTTGCGCCACCAGGGAGGCCCCTGAATTAAAAATTTTTTAATGTTAAGTGTCCTACGCAGAAAATTAGGGGAAAATTTTCCCCTATATTTGAGTCATTGCTGTCTAGCAGTGATTTTGTAAATAAAATTTTATTGGAACATGTTTACATGATGTCCATGACTGTTTTCATTATTAATAATGACAGGATCTAGTAGATGCAACCAAGACCAGATTGTCTGCTACATTAAAATGTTCATATCTTTCCATTTAAGAAAACATGCACCAACCCCTAGCATAGCATCATATGTAAAAGATAGGTTTTTAGTAAATACTTGAGGAAAAAGGGGGAAAGAAGGTAAAAAGGATAAAGAACATTAGATAGTGTGGAACACAGAATGGTCCATACATGAAAATATTGAATAGTTTCGTGATTTTTTTTAACTAACTTGCTGAAATTCATGATGGTTTAGTAACATCTAAGAAGTGCTGATTTAGAGGAAAAACTCAATTGAGAAATTTGCTGAAGAGCAGTGTTAGTACAGCAGTCTCCTATTTCCCTTTTGTGTTCATTTAGCATACATTTCCTAGATACTCTATGCAGGATGTTAAGAAATTGTAGAGACTATGCACACACATTGATCTGCTTGTTTATTCCTCCAGCATTCAGTGAGCACCTGTTCTGTGCTAGATTCACATTGGGATAGGCATTGTTTCTGCTTGCAGAGAGCATTCTGGAGAAATGAATCTGTGGGGATTAGCAATATTAAGTACCTTACCCAGTATTGCTCATCTAGTAAATGGCAAAATTAGGCAGAATTCAACATGGTGGAGGCCATTTCACTATGCTGTACTTCCTCCAGGGGAAATACGAAAAGACACATGAGAAATTAGTATTTTGGGCAGGGGGAAAAATGTTTGGAGATAAAATAAGATGTGACATTACGTTTAAGGAAGTTTACCTTTTTTTTTTTTTTTTGTCTACTGAACAGGAACTTTGAAAAGTGGTAGGCAGCCTTACTAAGTAGTTTGGACTTAATAGAATGTACAAAATCACTGAAGAGACTTAAGCAGGGAATTTACATACAATTTTGTGTTTTGGACAGTTGTTGTGACAGTAGAGCAAGGGAATATAACCTAGGCAAAAGATGACCAGTAAGAGTGGAGACAGTATAAAACTGTCAAGAAATATACCCACGGAAGGCCTCCCTGGCGTCACAAGGGGTTAAGTGCAGCACTGAAGCAATCGCAGCCTCTGCAGCACGAGTTTGATCCCCAGCCAGCCAGGGAGCAACCCACATGGCGCAGCAGACCTCTCCTGACTCGCCCGCTGCTCCCCTCAGCAGTGTATTTCATTCAGTCTGCCTGTTGTGTACCCCACTCTGTCTCTGGTGAATCCTTTCACCCCTCACACCCCATACCTCTGGCCTGTACCCCAGCTCTTATATGCATAAATAAATCTTTAAAAAAAAGAAAAGAAAGAAATATAACCACAGAGTCAATTTGATAAGAGAGTAACTGTATTGCAGAGAAAGGGCCTGATTCTTGGTTTGGTCAGCTAAATTTAAGATAGTGCCATTAACAAAGTTTCTAAGGTAGGGGCAGATTTTAGAATTAGTTTAGGTTTAGAAGAAGGAAAATAGATATACTTTTGGACATTCCATTATAACATCCAGTTTACATGTAGGTGAAGTCTAGAGCTCAGGTTAAGTGTGGTCTGGAGACAGATTTAAGAGACATATTGTCTGTATATAGGTGGTAGTTAGAAGCATGATAATGGAATTTGGTTATGAAATTATAGAGCAATATTTTCACCTTTAAATTTTTTGCCTCTTTGAGAACCTAAGAACAATGATCCTTTCTCCTTAGAAAAATGCACATAAACATGGTTCCTGAGCATTCACATATTGCTTGCGCTCCAGGTTAAAATTTCCTCATATGGAGTCAGAGTACTTAAGACCAAACCTCTGGGAAACATCAATATTTAATGGATGGACAGAGAGAGAGAATCCCATTAACAGCATGAATAAGCTGGACTTCAAGGGAAGGATGTTTCAGGACAAGACAGAAAAACATGAAAAGTATCTTGTTGGCGTTGATGGGCTTTTGAAGACTTTAGTCAGAAGTTTGAGTGGTGAGAACCAAAGAAGACTGCAAAGAAAAATGAACAGAAATGAAGTGAAAATACTGAATTTTCATTGCTCTGGTAGTAACTTGACTGTAGGATATTCAGTAGAAGGGTTTTTAGAAAATGGGCAGACTGTCGTGAGGAAGAGGTTGAGAAATGAACTAATCTGTCCAGTGAGGTCCTTGAGAGGTGAAGCTCTACGACTAGAGGAGTCTGATGGGCAAGCTTAGGAACAGAGGGGTCTTGTCTCACTGTGTGTCCAGGGCCTCACAAGGGTGGAATACATAGCGCCATAAGTACGTGAATGGATGATTAATGTAGTTTGGGTTAGAGAGAGACTGAAGGTAGTTTGATGCTTAATGGGAATGAAGGAAAGAGGGAATCTTGAGGGGATACAGGTGGTGGTGACTCCATGGAGGGATTATGGATTCACTGACATTTGCTCAGCATGATCTTGCCTGTGTGTACTAAAACCTATGAGGGAGGTAATATACACAGAAACCCTCTAATACTGCTGTTTCAGTGAAAATAAACAGTGATAGAACAGCTGAGAACAGACTAGTATGAGGATTACCATAAAAAATAGGACAAACCCACTGATGAAAGAGGAATTGGAGAGGATAGGAGAAAAGACCTTCAGAGAAGAACATGAGCCAAAGCTTGGTTGAGGAATGTCCTTCATCCATCCTGACAGTCATCTGACAACTGATCCTGTCAGAATTTCAAATCAGATCGGTTTTTAAAGTTTGACATTTTTGATGCTTCTCAACAGGATTTATGACCAGAGGAAAATTGACGAGAATGAGAACAATGGCGTGCTTAAGAAATTCTGTCCTCATCACCTGGTAAGATTCCCAATGGACCAGTGGCTCCAGGCTTTCCTAACAATCCTCAGGCTATTCCCAAACTTGTTGGTATGGTGGGAAGAGCCTGGACACCTGGATTTGAATCCTGGCGCCACTGCTTACCAGCTTTGTGATTTTGGGCCCACACTGTACCTCTGTTAGCCTCAATTTTCTTACCAACAAAACAGCTAACAATAACTGCCTGGCACCATGATGCTGAGGCCTGATGACATCATCTGTGTGAAATGGCTTACATAGGAGATAGCCACCTCCCCCTAGGTGGTCACATGTCATCGCTGTGCTCCTCTGGGTGCTCCTCTCTCCTCCTCCCTTTCTCCTCTCCAATTCTCTCACCTTCCTTCCCCTGCCCCTTCTCCTTTCTCCCACCCCTCTTTTTCCTGTTCTCCCATCCTTCCCTCTTCCCCTCTGTGCCCCTTCACCTTATTCCTCCTTCCCCATCCCACCCCAATCTCTGGGAGAAGATATAGGGGAGTTTGAAGGAAAACCTGTTTCCTGAAGGTGGTATAACATGGGGGGGTGGAGCATCAGTCAGTATCTGCTCCTTATTGCAGGTGAACAGTGAGTCCAAAGCAAACATCACCTGTCTTGTGTACAGCCACGACGGCACAGGTACGTGAGCCGGCCCACCTCCGAGGCTGGCATGCCTCTCAGTCAGGGAGCTGCTGAGCCATGAGGCATGTGCCCTCCAGGCTCACCGCTGTGCCCCCCCAAGTGGAGCTGCTGGGGAGTGGTTGCTGCCCATGAGCATATAGCCAGCGGTGAGCACATAGCGGGAGGAGGCAGCAGCTGACCCTCGGAGATGCCGGGCACACTTGCAGAATGCTGCAGGTGATTGTGGCAGGGTCTGTCCTAAAGCTCAGGCTGCTTGCCTGGGCAGTCTTAATGCCTTTGACTCACTACTGAGCTAACGGCATGATCTTCCTGAGCATTCTGCTACCCTGGGTTGGCAGTGTGTTCCTAGTTTACCCTAGACACATGATTTGCCTGCTGCTCCAGCTGAGGACGAGGGGTGCTGTACTGGGTGTTAGAAGGGGCACTGCTGGCAAGAAGCCCCACCCCAAGCCCCAGTTCTTGGTCCCAGCTTTCTTCAGCCTCTTCCTTCACTGCTGTGTGCTTGTTCTTGGCAGAGCTCCTGGCCAGTTACAACGATGAAGACATTTACCTCTTCAACTCTTCTCACAGTGATGGAGCCCAGTATGTTAAGAGGTACAAGGGCCACAGAAATAATGCCACAGGTGAGACTGTTGTTTAGGTTTCTGTAGCCCAGTCCGGCTGGGAGAACCACAGTATATCTCTGAGGTGTTGCCAGTAGGAACTAAAAGGTTGAGAATGAGAACAGTGGCGTCCCTGAAGGCAGTGAGAGGGGTTCTGATGGGGCTAGAGTCCATGGAGCTGCTGTGCTAATGGAGCAAGGACTCCATAGGGCTTTCTCACCATTGTGATGTCACTGGGTTTGGGTAAATGGAGATTAGACTAACTATGGTCAGGATTAAAAAGCTAGTTAGAGTGTTCAGGACAGCCCTTTTTAGTCAGTGGTACTACATTTCCTAAAATGGTGGTGGCTTCTGCCTCACAGGAGGGGTGGTGACAGTATTTCACCCAAATCTGTGATGAAGAATGCATTTTTGTTCTGTGTGTGGTTCCTAAACTTTTTGCACAAGGCTGTCATCTGATAGTCTATAAACAATACTGGTACCTGGCTCCTGTCCCCAGACACTCTGATTTCATTGGTCTGGGGTGTGTCTTTTTTTTTTTTTTAAAGTTTTTTTTTTGTTTGTTTTTGTTTAAAGATTTATTTATTTATTTATTCATACAAGCGCTGGGTTCAGTCAGAAGCACGGGAGGGTGAGAGAGTTCACCAGAGCCAGAGCGGGGAACAGAACAGGCAGACTGACAAAATACGCTGCTGAGGGGAGCAGCGGGGGCGGCAGGAGAGGTCTGCGCGCCATGTGGGACACTCGCCCGGCGGCCGGGGATCGAACTGGCGCTGCAGAGGCTGTGGGCAGCTTCGCAACCCAGCGCGCAACCACTGTGCCACCAGGGTGGCCCCTGGGGTATGTCCTGATTGAAGTGTTTGAAAATTCCCTGTGCAAATCTAATGGACTGGGAAGTTGGGGAACACCTGCTCTTAATGTTACCACTCCTAACAGATATCTGTCATAATTTTGGCCTGGAGAGCACACTTTTCCTTTGCTTCTTGAGCTGATGAGGAGAGAAAAAATCTATACTTGGGCTTTAGTTTATAGGCAGACAAAAGAAAGTCCATTTCTGGACAGAAGGGTTGGGATTCCTGGCTTTCCCTAGCTTGGTTTGGTGTCTGCAATCCCAGTTCAGGTGTTTCTCAACAGCAGTCATGACCTGTACTCCCTCATTCTCAAGCCAACTGATGACCCCGGAACACTGAACAGGTCCCTATGAAATCCATATACCCAGGTAACCTGATAGCATGGACAGTACTCCTAGGAGAGGGCAGAGTAGGGCCATTTTATTTGGGACAGTTAAGGCATCAATGAGGCCTGTGTGTGCTCAATGGGGTGTGGATTAGTGAGACTGCTGCTAAGGGACTGCAGATCTCTCAGCCCTATGGAGCTTTTTGGGAGAATATCATTATTCTCTGGAGCTGGTATGATTCTTACTAAACTCATTACATGTGCATAATCTCTTGTTTTGTGAAAATAAAAGGAATCTTTGGTCTTAGCTGAGTTAGAGTTTGCCAGTAACTAATTCCCTATAAGGTAAAATATAAGTGGGCCTGGTGGCAGCCTACATGATATTTATTCTTTCATTTGTCATTTCAGTAAAAGGTGTCAATTTCTATGGCCCCAAGAGTGAGTTTGTGGTGAGCGGTAGTGACTGCGGGCACATCTTCCTCTGGGAGAAATCATCCTGCCAGATCGTTCAATTCATGGAGGGGGACAAAGGAGGCGTGGTGAGTATGGCATGCAGGGCTGCAGGCTCCATTCTCTCCAGTCATTGAGGTGGGTTTTAATAGGTCCCCTGTATTCTCATGGTGACAGTGTGACACCATCTTAGTAGTTCAGCCTCTAAAGTAAAAGGCAGAGTCTGGGGGTGCTGAGATTTGACAGAATGTTTTCCTCCTTTTCCTATCTTCTGCCCCCTCGAAGACAGCATGGTTTATTAAGAAGAGACCTTTTCTAAAAGAGAAGCATTAAGACACTAAGGGTGTCTCCAGGTTTCTCCCTGACAAGTAGCAAAATAATTATCTTGACTAGATTTTGGAGCAGCAGATACAAACTAGAAGGAACATTGTTTTTTGACAGTGGGGAAATCAGAATATGTCTTGGTAGATAATATGGCATTTAATGTTACATTTACTTGATGTGATTAGGTAAGAATGTCCTTTACTTGAGGGATACACTTTGGAGTGTCTAAGGGTGAAGTGTCATGCTTACATTCAAATAGATAAATGCACATAATATAGGGAGAGAACAAATACGGCAATATGTTTATGTCTTTTTTTGTGTGTGTGTGTAGAAGAACTGGGGTGTAGGCCAGAGGTGTGGAGCAGGGTGGTGAGAGGATTTACCAGAGACAGAATGGGGAGCAGAACAGGCAGATCCACTGAAATGCACTGCTAAGGGTAGCAGTGAGTGAGACAGGAGAGGTCTGCTGGCTATATGTGGGTTAGCTCCCTGGCTGGGCATCCACCTCAGGCTGTAGCAGTGACAGCACTGAGACTTTACCCCTAGGCCACCAGGGAGGCCTTGTTTTTTTTTTTTTGTTTTAAAGTGGCTGAGCAGCCTGATATACACATCATGGTCACATCATGTCACCTTTCCTTGAGTTCTGCTTTCTCCATGGAGACAGGGCAAAACAGAATCATGAGGGTCCTGAGATGTATCTGTGCACCAGAATATTTTGTTTTCTTTCTTGAGATCCAGAGTGGAGAAGGTTTTATTTAGTAGCTTTCTATGATAAGGTTTATAGAGACTGCAGAATATAGACAGTCTTGGAGGTTAATTTGGACTGCTTACCCAGAGAGTCTAAGAGCCTCTGAGGAATGAGCGAGACACTTGGTCTCTTCCTTTTTGTTCTGTGCTTTGGGAGCTGTACAAGAAGACACCATCTCTTGGCAAGGTTTATTCCAGAGTGATGGTAGAATTCAGAGTGGGTCCTTGCAGTTAGGTTCCCATTCTTTAGGTGATTCTTGCCTGATTTTATTCTGGTTTCCTTTTACTTTGGGGACCTACGATTGGCATAGACCCTGGCCTCAATGGCCTGAAAGTAGGTGAAGGGGAGTCTAGAACTTCAAGGTGTGTCTGTTGTCTGCTTCATCTGGGCTCCCAGAGGTCCTCTTCTGTCACCTGCAGGGAACAGAACCAAAACACTGGAGTCTTAGTGAGAATTCTGTAATAGGCAGGCAGTCAAAGGACATCAGGAGAGGCCAGTGAATGCTCTCTTGATCATAAACGATTGTCTTGCATTCTGTTCCAGAGAGATGCTGGGCTTAGCCCTCCTTCAGAAGTGCTCTGTGGGCCACTGTGCTTGCAACTCATTTAGTGTCAGGTTTGATGATAAGTCCAGGTGCTCAGTGGGAGGAATAGGCAGGCCCCAGGCTGAAAGAGTGCAGGACTGGAACCAGAGGTGTAGAGACTGTACCCTGAAGTGACTTTCCTGACTTGTTCTTGCTTCTGTGAGCAAAATAATGTGTGTGGTCCTCAATAGGCTCCCTGTTTTTTTTGTCCTAATCTTCCAGCTGTGGGTCACCAGGTACCAGCCTCAAAGCAGACTCTTAGCAGCTTTATATCACATAGTAAAATGTTAGCACCAGAAGGGATCTGAGAAATTATCCACTTTGCCCTTGACGCTAGTTTTGACTGAAACTCTAGCCCTTTCTTTGTCTCTACTCAGGGACAAGGTCTAGGGGATGATAGCAGAGGACCATCCCTAGTTTCCCAAAAGCTTCACCCCATTCCTTGCATCCTCTCCAGTGCAGACATCTATGGCCAGAGCTTTTTTCTGTGCTCGGGCAGCACTGACAGACTAAGTACCAGCATTCAGACAGGACTGGTGAAGTGACCAGTACCTTTGCCCAGAAACTTTGTTGGCCCTCCTGCAGGTTCCCTCCAGCTTGAGTACCAACTTCATCACTCTGTTGTTCCTTTCCTCTCAGCTTTGTCCTCAGTCTTAGGATCCCAGGACTTTGTCCTAGTATTTGTTGGTTTTACTGACTGTAGACAGAGCTCAGTTTGAGCAGATGCTGTCGGGGCTCTCACCAGGTGGTTGAAGGAATAGGGTTTATGTGTGGATTGCCACTTGTCTTTGATCACACTCCCAGGCACTGAAGTTTCTGTCTGGTGCCTCCAGTGCTCCAGAAGCTGGCACCTCTTCCCTCAGTCTCAGTCCACGTTTGCAGTGAGTTTCTGTGTGGATTCAGAGCAGCAGAAGTGACATGATATTTCTACTTGACCCTCAGGCTCCACCTTAGCTTCAGTCCTTTCTGAGCATTTGTTTGTAAAATAGAAGACTAGGAAATTGAAGATTGTAGGTTAATGAGCGTCTCCATGCTGGCTATCAGTTTGCAGGCTTGGCTGTGGAGGCTGGTTGGAGAGAACCAGAAGGCTTTTTGCCAGGGGTGGTTTTCTGGGACTGTAGGGTGGCCACATAGTGGCGTGAGGGGAGGAGTGCTTGGGACCACACCATTTTCCTTCTGGGTGCCTGTCCTACCTAATCCTCATCTGACTAAAAGCACAAAAATGCTTTAGCAGCTAAATCTGGGACAGCTTTTCCGGTGGGGGTAGGAACTGCCCTGACCGGCTCTGTCCAGCCAGGAAGGCTGATGTTCCCCTGTCTGGCAGCAGGGGGCGGGGTACCTTCCGATGGAAGGAAGCCTGAGCCAGCAGTGGGCACACCCAGCTGGGGGTGTGAGATTGAGGCTTGAGCAGACCTGTACTGGGCCTCTGTGCTCTCATGGCAGGGAGCATGTGCTTCTGTCTACCTCAGCCTCTCCTAGCCTGTGCTTTCCTTTATTTCTGTAAACAGACACACAAAACTGTCCCCAGACTCCTGGGGGGCTCAGCAGCTGCTCCCTTCTTCCATTTTCAGAATGTATCTGTGATTTGGTAAGAGCCACTGAGCTACAGTTTGTTCCAATCATGGCAAGAGGGAGCTGTGGAATAGGGTAAATGAGGTCATCTTCGCTTTGTATTCCTTTGTGAATCTGTTAGTCTGACTAGTCACTTGTCCACTGTAGTTTACACATCTTACACTTATAGGAGACCATCCCTGCCTTACTTGTTGGAAATTAAGATGTGCTTGGCCTTAAACCATCAATGTCCGGTGCCCCTTCCACCCCGGGGTCTGCCTTGTCTAAGGGTGGGTGCAAGAGCCTGCATTCCCAGCAACTGCCTTTGCTCTAATCCAGGACAATTGTTTGACTCAGGGTGGTTTTTAAATTCTGCTTTTGCATAGCCTGTATTGTCCTACTCACCAGGTAAACTGTCTTGAGCCCCACCCTCACCTGCCTGTGCTGGCCACCAGTGGCCTAGACCATGACGTCAAGATCTGGGCCCCCACGGCAGAAGCTTCCACCGAGCTGACAGGATTAAAGGATGTGAGTAGCTAACTGCACCTTCTTTCCACCCGCTCACACTGCCGTGAGCTTTGCTGTCCTGGAAAGGAATCACTTGCTGCCCAGGCCTTCAGAGCCGATGTTGAATACCCACCTCACATGCCGTCACTGCCGCTCTAGAAACACAGTCCCTAGCCCAAGAGCCAAGTGGTGAAGTGCCCTTCATTCATGGTAGAGTGGGTAGGGGGATCTTCAGCAAGAATCATTGTGACTTACAGCCTTCTACCTTCTCAGTGGATGGAACTGGGACTGCCTTTCCTAATCAGTTGTAGCTGTACTTCAGCTTAACAGTTCCCAAGGTGGGTTTTATTAGAATGGGTCAGCTCCAGGGTTTGTTTGTAAGCCACCTGTACCCCCAACCCTTTGGGCTTCAGGTAATTAAGAGGAACAAACGGGATCGGGATGAAGACAGCCTGCATCATACGGACCTGTTTGACAGCCACATGCTCTGGTTCCTTATGCATCACCTGCGTCAGACGCGTCACCACCGGGTATGCTGGGGTAGAAAGGGCGCTCTGGGGTAGAGGCCTCTCAGGAAGGGAAGAGTCCCGGGAAGTCGGGTGGTCTTGGTCAAGTTTCCTATCTTATTCCCCCTAGTCCCATCCCAGTGGGTCCCTGTTACAGCCTGGGAAGGACCACCAGTAGAAGCTGGTTGTATCTGCTCTCTGTCCCCATCACCAGGGAGATTGCTGCCTTCAGAAAGCACCTTTGTGTCCTCTCACACCAAGAGGCTGAGGGCAGAGCTTAGCATACAGTAGCAGTCTGCACGCTGCCTGTTTTTGTAAATAAAATTCTGTTGACAGAGCACACACCCTTTCATGTATGTACTGCCTGTACAAAGTTGAATCTCTGCAACAGAGATGTGGCCCATGAGTCTAAACTCTTCACTGGCCCTTTAAGGAGCAATCTGTTGACCCTTGGCCTAAAGCATCTGAACTACAGCTAAGACCTGACAGGCTTGTCCTGTTCAGGGACGTTACTAACACACCTTTCCCATCCTACAGCGCTGGCGAGAACCTGGGGTTGGGGCCACAGATGCAGACTCGGATGAGTCTCCCAGCTTCTCAGACACATCGGACGAGGAGGAGGGTCCTGACCGGGTGCAGTGCATGCCATCCTGAGGCCCCTCGGACTCCGAAGGGGTGGGTGGGGCTGCCACCCCATCCTGCCTGGGCAGCCTTTTCCTGTCTCAGGCCCCTACATGCAGCAGAAATGCACTTTGGACTTTTTGCTTTAGATAAAAGAAAGACTCCCAGGAGAAGGACAAAACAGGGAGCAAAGCCACAGAGAGTGCCAGGCCCAGAGTGGGTTCCAGGAGAGGTGCATAGGACCCAGCAGAAATGGCCTCTCCCCAGAGCCTTTTTTTGGGGGTGGGGGGAGCCTATTTTGTTAACTGGTTTGGGGTAGAGAATGGGGTTTCCTTTTCTTTAATCTTCCTGGCTTCTGGGGTGGGGAGGGTGGGGGGACAACTGACTGTTCAGTACCAAGGGGCGAGAGTGGGTCAGTAGACGTCCACTCTCTCTTTGGTTTAGGTTTTTGACTTTTTTTTCCCTTTATTTTAAAAAGAAAATCTATGACAGTTTCATTGTTTATTTCCCCCCTGAACAGCCCCATCCCAGAATCCTTTTTTTCTGGGAAGCCCTTAGAGCACCCCTGACCACCCACACTTCACTTTCCCTCCCACCCCATATTCTCTGTGCTTCTCACAATATTTTGCACTTGATTGTCCTTCACTCTCCTCACTATCCGTCACCCTAAGGATCTGGTGACGGAGGTGGGGGGAGGGGCAAAGGTGGAGCAAGAATAGGATGTGTGACCTCTTCTGTTACTCTAAAAAAGTTGTTTGACGGCAGTAATCTCCCTGTTCTATCACTGTTAGAGGCCTAATTTTATATCTATAAATATATTAAAAAGCAAGTCAAACTTGGATGTATCACGTTAAAATTATTGTCAAAGTTTAAATAACTATATATTCTCTATGAATGCAATAAAGGGACTTCCAGGAGTGTGAGAGTAATGCTGTGAGGTGACACCTAGGATCCACCCACCCTCCATGTATGATCCTCAGCCAGTGGGGCTTACCTCTGCTTGTAGGCGGCCCCTCGGTTCTGCCTCTTGTTGCTTTCTGCCTTTTTTTCAGGCTTGGACAAGCAGGAAATTACTCCCAACTCTGCCTCAGCTTCCTGTTTTTGAATCCATGAGGTTCCCACAGGTTGACTGAACTATGACTTAAGGAAGGGTCCCTCCTAGTGGGCTGTGACATGCTTGGTTCTTGAGCCTTCATCTCCATACCAACTCCCTTCCTAATGGAAAAGTGAAGGGGTGGCTTCTTGGGTTTTACTTTTCACTTTGTCCACCTTTTGATATCCTGGGATTGGGGGATGAATCATTCATGTGAGGATAGATGGAGGTGGCTGTCTTAGCACTGGCTACTGAATATCTAAGTCCCCATTGAGCTCTTGCCTTTATATGCTTTTGCTGGTATATCCTGTGCACCCCCCTCACCCCCCAACCAGGAATTCTGCATCCTGGAATAGTCTGATTCTACTACTAGGCCAAGAAGGAGGGGAAGAGCAAAAGGATCCCAGACTCACCCCCCTCCTGGTCCTCCTAGCAGCTCTCAGTGCTGCCGCCTGTACCCTAGGTAGGGAGTGTGGTAACAGCGGCTGGTGTGTCCCATGGTGATGAATGATGGTGCAAGCTGAGACCATGCACTCTGCAGTTTGTTGTGTGTTTCTCAGTAAAGTTTTCTTTTCTTTTTTTCTCTCCTGACTGCTGCTCTCTCATGATACAGGCACTCATTCATGACAAGCTCGTTGGCTCTTCCCACTGTCGGGGCCTGGCCCTGGCCTCACTCCACCTGGATTAGTATCAGAAGGGCCAGTCTGGATTTCCACTGCGGAAGAGGCTTCCACTGCTCAGTAACACTTAGGAGGTTGGGAAGGGGGGAGAGATAGTATTAGGAGTACTTTCCTGGCCTATGTTCTGTGCTGCAGTGAGGGATTTGGGGGGGGGGGGTATGAATATTGCTCCCCTCCCTTCCCAGTCATTCGAAGGCTCAAAATCCTGGTCATTCACAGAAATTAGTCTAGAGTCAGTCAGTATAATCAGTCACCTTTATTCCAGGGTTAGAACAAGGCCGTGCACACTGCAGACAGGAGCACAGGAACGGGGCATCTCACAACAGTATGGGGGGCTGGGGGAATGGGTTAGTCTTGAGATTTTGCCTTACAGAGAAATTCCCGGACTGCTGAAAACGATCCCCCTTCTCCCTTTCCTTTCTCCCTTCTCCCTCTCCCTTCTCCCAAGGAAGGATCCTACTCTTCCTTCCTCTTCTCCTCTCCCTGCCTCCCCCAGCAAAGCACATTCTGACTGAAAGGACAATTCAGCTCTTTCACCCCCTCCTAATTCCACAAGGATCTCTCTCCCTGAGGGAGAAGCCAGGCAGGGCTGCAAAGGTCCTTTAAGGCAAAGCTGGAGCGCTCAAGGTGTGTGTTAAGGCAGGTGTCCGCATTGGCCAGAGGGAAGGGCAGGTGGGCTGGCTGGGATTGGAGTGTGCTGCTTCCCTCTCCAAACAGCCCGCCGCCCCACCCCCAACCCTTGCTCCTGAAAGTAACCCATATCCTAAAAGTTCCTTAGACTTTCTCTGAGTAGTCTCAGATTCCACGTCAATTTGAGCTTAAAAAATGTTTTATCTTGACTACATAGCAATTTGTGCCGGTCCCTTAACTGTGGCCTCCCTCCCCACCCCTGCTCTGACCTAGACAGTTAATGCGAGACACCACAAAAAAGGGCAGACATGGCAGTGCGGGTTTAATATACATATATGTAGAATATATATGTACACACAGTTAGCACGGTCAAGGTGGGGAAGGGCGTCTTGGGACAGGCAGGAGGCTGGGGTCACTGATTTGGCTAGGAGGCGTTCATAAGCCCAAGGCGCCAGGGTATTGAGGGAGAGGGGTTACCAAGTCCCCTCCTGGGATGAATTGGGGATCAGTGCAAAGGAAAACACTAGTTCACTTCTTCCCTTCTTGCTTGCTTGGTGTGTTCTAGACCAGGGGAAGGAAGGTACCTGCAGTAACCATGCTGGGACCCTGTAGTAGGGGCAGGACTGCAGTTAAAACCCAAGAATCTCCTCCCCAGCCTCCCTGGGTTCAGGGTCAGCACGGGCAACAGTCTGAGCAGGAATAAAGGAGTGGAAAGAAGAACCACAGAACATGCCCTCGGCCCACCTCAGGCCCAGGGGGGCGTGCTCCCAATGCAGTCCCAGAATAGGAGGATGGCGTCTAATGCTGGGTGCTGGGTGCTTGAACTTCAGGGCCGGGAAAGGATCCCAATGTCCTCTTAGATCCCTGGTTCACACTCATTCTAGGCCTTTGCAAGGGGCACAAAGGGAACTCCAACCTGAGGAAGAGCTGGAAGCCAACTCCTCAGCCCATCCAGCATGGTGCAAACACTGAGCCTGCCCTGGCTTTTCTTAGTCCCTGGGGTGGGGGTGGGGGAGCCTCTCCACTTCCCCTCGCTGCTTTTCATAAGATGCACCTCCTCTCTCAATCCTCACCCCACCTGGGCGCCTCCATGGAGGGAAATCCAGGTCCTTTTCTGCTCCCACACTTCAGAGGTGTGTGTGTGGGGGGAAAGAGTGGAGGAAAGGGAAGTTGGAGGAGCGTGCCCCCCCCCCTTCCCCCAGAGTGGAAAACTAGGCCATCCCCAGCCCCTGACCCCCATCCCCTCACGAGGAGGAACTAGATGAGCTAGACATAAAGACAAACAGCCAGAGCGTGCGCACACGCACACACGCGCACAGTAAGGGGTTAGGACCAGGTTAGTAAATGGGTAGGTGGGGGGGTTCCCTTGACCCCTCCCATGGAGGATGGGGGAAGGGAGTGGTCCGATGAAGGTCCAACCTTCTCTTCCTCCCCCTTGCTCAGGCTTTCTTCGGTGGAGGAGCCAATTTGATGATCTCTTCCTCAGAGGGCTGCCGGATAATGTCTGGGGGGAAAGGGGGTGTGTCCAGGGAGCAGCCAGGAGACCCCAGACAGGCCCACAGAACATGGGCCTCCATTCTCCCCAATTCAAGTCCTTCAAGGACAACCCATGGGAAACGAGATGGAGTGAGCAGAGCTCGCTTACCTTTGTATTTCTTGGCACTGGGAATGCGGGTGAGCTTGGTGTCCAGCTCATCCTCCTCTGAGATCTTCAGAACGCGGGTTCTGTAGTCCACCACCATGGTGAGGAGGTCGGGGCGGCGGGAGATCTCGAAGATGTGCTCAATGTAGGAGAGGTTGTCTGGGGGGGAAGGCAGGAGAGGGTCAGAGTGTGGTGTGGAGGCCGGTAGCCCTGCTCTACCAGGGCGTGTTGAGGACCATCTCTAGGGCTCCGGGTGACTGGAAGAAGAGGCGCTGCTAGCCAGGAAAGAGGAAGGCAGTGACAGTACAGAGGGCCGTCCCAGGAAGGGGTGGTAGGGCCGTGCTCTTCCCAGAGCATGGGTTTAAAAAGGCATTTGAGGGAGACAGCAGGTCCCACCCAGGGTGAGAGGAGGACAGAAAAACTAACCATCCTAAATCCCCCGCATCTGCCCATTCCCTGCCCCCGCCAAGTAAGCAACAAAAAAATTTCCCGGTCAGACATGGGACTTCTTCCCTGGCTGCCCCTGTGACTAGCAGGAGTCTCCTCACTATCCTCCAGCCCAGCCCCCTGCTCCCACAGCAGTGAAGTTAGTATCTCCCACACCCGTCAAATCACTGCATTCCCCAGCAGTCTCCACTTTTCCTTCCAGCTGCTTCTGCACACACCGGCTGCCTGGCCAGGCCCCACTTCACCCCATGCTGCCCCCCTGCTGTCCTGCCCAGCTCCCCTCCTCAGGGACATTCCACTGCCTCTTGGATCACCTTAAACGACTCCCTAGAGGCCCTCCCAGAGCAGTGGTCTCTGACGGTGGGTAAGGAAATGTTAGACGTCTTGGTTTTGTCTGGAGTGTTACCACTTCTATTTTCATGTTCTACTTTCTACGTGATACAGCACAGGAGAGTCTGAGTAATACCTCATACTCGGGCACAGCGAAGACAAGCCCACGCCCCTGAGCCCCTGCCAGTCAGGGAGGGGTGCAGTGTGAACAGCGGGCCACCTGTCCCACCTTTGTCCAGCTTGTTGTGGCTCTCCAGGAAGCTGAACCAGGCACTGCCAGTGGTGATCTCCTCACTCTTTTCGCTCGGGATGTCCTCCTTGCAGGCCGACTTGAGCTGCTCCAGATCCTCCAGGGTGATGTTGTTGGTCAGGTCCTGCAGGAGGGTCCCGTACTCGGCCATGGCCTGGGGGGATAAGGGGAGTGGGGCTAAGTGGTGGGGACCACGCACCCTCTGCCTGGCCCTGCGTGCCTACAACATGGAGGTAGGAGCGTCACGGACCCTGGACCCTAGGACACGGGCCAGGGCGGAGCCTGGCGTAACAGCCACACCTCCTTCCCCCATCCTCCTCCTTGGTTCTCCCTCTAACAGTCACCCTGGCAACAACTCCCCTTACTGAGGAGGCGGTTACCATAGCAACCTGCTCCCGACTTTCTCACCCGCAGTTTCCAAGTCCCCCCAGGATTGCCCCACCCACCAGCAGCCCCTCCCTGTCAAAAAAAAACCAAAACAAAACCCAAACTCCATAACAGGGCCAGGGACTAGTGAGAGGGACTGGAGGGCTGTCAGGGCCTGTGTTGTAGCTCTTTGCCCCAGAGTAAAGGGGGTCCCTTGCTTCATCTCCCCACACCCCACTGATGACTCATTTTGGAAGGATGCCTGCTCTAATGTCCCCGGCCCCTCTGCTGGACCTGTATTCAATCACTTGAACATGGGGGGGGGGATGGGCACAGGGAGAGGGAAACCATGGGCCACCCCAGTCTTTGTGGAGCCCCTTTTCTCCCCTGCTTGCTAGTGGGCCTCCACATAGCCCTCTGTCCTTGCCTTTGTGCTGTGCTCGCTGCCCCCGCGCCCAAGAATACCAAGCGGCTGGCTCTGGCCCCCTGCCCAGTTCCCAGGCAGGCTGGGTGGCAGGGAAGGGGTTTAGATGCAGTTTGGGGAGTCTGACAGGAAGGGGCTGCCACTCCTGCTGGCAGCAATATCTGCTGGCACCAACTTCAGCATGAACCCCCAAAGAGGGCTGGGCAAGGCAAGTTCTCACCAGGACTTCACCCCTCTCCTCTCTGAGGAAGCTCTTAGGTGAGCACCCCCGTCACCGCCCCCCCTCCATCTGCTGTGATAGAACTGTGGCTAAGACAGGAGGAAGGTGGTCAGATCGGACAGAGAACTTACCAGATTTGATAATTTTTCAAAATCTAACGGTGAGTTTTTAAAAGGGGCTTTCCCCCACAATGAGTATATAATTCTTCTACAATGAGAAAAGTGAAGCATTTACAAAAGTAAATTATATCATAACCACTAGCTAGACCAAGGAACTAGGTGGTCTTGGACTGAGCTGCCTGCAAATCACCCCAAGAGTGGGCTGGGAATGTGGCAGATGGAAGGGGGCAAGCTGACATCGTTTTCCTTATTTCTGGCATGTGTGCAGGGGGCACGGCCAGGCAGAGAGGCACGGCCACTACATAGTAAACGGCGTGGACTACAAAGTCCCCTTTCTCAGCCCCCTACTTGGACCCGAACAAACCAGACTCCTTTGGTGGCAGGCACCGTGACACGAACACAATGAGCCTGGCAGCAGGGCCAGCATGACCCCCATGAGAAACAGGCACTTGTAGGCACTCTGGGTTGCACCCCAGGTGCAGGCAGACAGAAAGGCCCAGGGGAGGCCCCGTCAGGCGGGGCCAGGAACAATGCTCTCGGCCTGTCAGCACTAGGAGCCGACTTTGCCTTGAAATCTAGGTCACAGCAGCAGGCTGTGGAGCCCAGCACTCCTCCATGGACCATCCGAGGACAGAATGGGGGTGATGGATGACAGGAGGCTCCTGAGATGAGGTTAATAACAGAGGGGTGTGAGGAGAGTCGAAGGGAAAGGCAGCATGTGAGGGAGCCAAGAAGCCCCAGCCTAGGGATGAGAACTGCAACCAATCCTGCCCTGGAAAACGGAACCGAATTCAGAATTCGGGGTCGCCCTGCCCTGCTTTCACTTGGGAGAGTGTAAACAGAGCCTGTGGGAGTTAAGTGTGCACGTGCACGTGTGTGCAAATGTGTGTGTCTCTCCTGGCAGGAGTGAAGATTCAGGTTCTGAAACTAAAACAGACTTCCAGGGGAGGTAGGCGGAAGGGGTTTGTGTGTGCGATACCCACCCACAAGCCTGAGGGCGGTGGGCAGGAGCCTTCTGAGAGTGAAACACACAAGGAGGCCCCTGAGAGATGGGGAGGGACATTTCTGGGGAGAATACAGGTGCCAAGATCTGTGCGCATGCTGATCCCTGTGTATGTACATCTGTGGGTGTGTGACCACATTCTGGTCATGGATCGTGTGCTTCAGCACTGGCCGTGTGTCTGTGTGAACCAGCTGAGTGTGTAAGAGGCACAGAACCACAGGCCACATCCAAAGACCAGGACGGGTGAGAGGCAAGGAACAGAGAGTGCTGGGGGTGGGAGCAGAGTGCCTGTCAGGGGAGAACACTGGCAGGAGGGAAGAGACCCTGGGGGGCGGGGCAGCCCCAGAGTCCAGAGGAGGAGGCTGCAGCCTCAGCTCAGCTGTTACCATGGCAACCCCAGTTCTGGGCGGTTCCCCCCACCCCCCCACAGTCTCCAGGACAATGACACTGCCAGACCAGAGGGGTGAGGAGTGGTGAGTAAGACGACAGAAGGGACAGGCGTGGCCTATGCTCCTCCCTGGAGAGACCCGTTTGCCTGGGCCTGGCTGCTGTGGCTGGCCAGAGCCAGGGCCAGGGCGGGAGAGTTTAGGGGGAATTTCCGGGTTCAAGGAGGTGGAATCGCCTTACAAGGCTCTCAAGTCTCACTCAACAACCACTGTGCACAGGGGTTCTGGCCATGGCAGTCCAACAGAAGTGAGGCTGCTGCACCCTCCTGTCACTCCCTGGGGGGGTTCCTATGGGACCCCCCCTCACACCCTTTTGCTCTGAAGGGCCCTCCTGATCCCTGAATCAGGGCGGCCGGGTCACTGCAGCCCTGGGTGGAGGCCATTCTCAGGACAGGATACCAGGGCCGGAACCGGGACTGCCAAGGCAGCCAGGAAGCCAGCCCTTCCCTCCCAGACCATTCAGTGCCTGGCTGGAGCCACCTCACACCTTCCTTCCTTCCTCCCTTCTTCCAGGCCCGCCCCAGACAAAGGCCCAACCTCCAGAGGATGCAGGGAAGCACTCAGGAGAGGGAGCAGTCAGGGGAGTGCTACAGGGGTTACAGAGGGAGAACCACCTGTGGAGGAGGCAGCAGCATCAAGAGAATTTCTGTGCATCTGACTCAAATCCATGATGATCCCTCTCCCTCCCTGGCTTCCAAAGCCTCAGCAGGTTAAGAGGCTAGCCAGGATTGGGGGCTGCAGCCCCTCCTGTCCTCCCATCTGTTGCAGCCACACAGATCTGGGGGTGCTGCCATGGGCAGGAGGGGCTCTCAAGTCTATTTGCCCTGTTACTTGGAGTTGTGGAGGGATGGCTCAGGACACAGTGGGAAGGGAGAGTTCTGGGTCAACGTCAGTTTTAGGTGGGCCCCCAACTGAAGCAGCCTGGCAGTCTGCCCTAATCATTCCTTTGCCGTCACTCAGTTGACTTCTTTCCTTAGCTTCTATTCAGACGGGGGGATGGGAGCGTCTTAGTCCTATCATGAAGGAAGAAGAGGGTCTACAGAGTCAGCCTCAGAATAAGGGGAGCAGGACACCTGGCCTCAAAATATTCAGTCCAAAATGCAAAATGGGCCCCAGAAGGCGGGCGAGACTGAGCCTTCAGCCCACAGTGGGAGGGAAGAAAGCAGAACCTAGGGGCCAGGAGGTAGACACCTGGCGTTGGGTGGGGGAGGCAGGGAGCGCTGCCCAATGGCGAGGAGGCCACGGGACCTGGGCCACTGCTGCTCTGGTATCTCCCACTCTGTCTCTTCCTCAGCCATTTCCTCTCTCCCTCTCCTTTCAGTGGACTTGTATCTCACTCAAGAGGGTGGTACTGGGAGTGCTCAGATTCTGGGGCTGTGCCTCAAAGCCTCCTGAGTTCTCAGAGCTACCCCTCTGGAGGAAGCGTCCCTGTGTGAAGTCAGGGTGAGTTTGGAGGAAGGGCCTGACGGCTGGATCACTGATGTCCACCACCGCGTGACGGGGGCCAGGGCAGCGCGGGAGCCTGGCCTGCCTCACGCCCAGCACACATGGGCACAGGTGTCAGGAAGTGAGGAAGCGGGACGCGGGGCAGCTGCGGGATCTCTGGCACGGTCCCCACTGGCGTGTTTAACCACAAAGGGGAGAGAGCAGTTCAAGCTAATCGCCCGGACACTCTGTGGCCAGACACCCGGAGAGAAAACCCACATATTCAGCGCCTTTCTTGATTCCCTGGGGTCTCGCCACCTAGTCCATTGGCACCTCCCTGATTTCTGAGCCCCTGCTGTCCACGCCTCTGCACTGGGTCCTCTTCTGACCACCTCTGTCCTCACTCCCAGCCCCCTGCCCCCTGCGTCTCTGTCCCCTCGTTTGTCCACCTCCCGCACACACATCCCTCTCCCCCGTCCCTCTGCGATGTCCAGCTCCCTCTCACACACATTCCCCTCATTCCCTCTGACTTGGGCTCCCTCCTCAGCTGACTCATACTCATTCTTCATGTTTCTCTCTTTCTTCCACCCCCACCTCCATCCCTTGGCTACTCGGAACCCAGGAAGGCGCCACTCCCAGCGCCCTGAGCTCTGACGGATCCAGCAAGAGAGGCCACCCCACATCCCTGCTCTCCCCACGAACCCCCAGTGTAAGCGCCAGCCTCACTCACCCTCAAATCCTGTCCCCTGTCCCGGAGCCACACCAGGCTTGTCTCCTGTCTCTTCCCACTGTTCCAAAGAGCCGCAATCTGAAGCCCAGGGCTGAGCAGACGCCCAGATCCCAGGGTGGGCTTGGGGACAGTTGAGATGCTCCTCCAGCAGACAGCGGGGAGCAAGGGTGAGGCGGGGGTGGCAGGGAGTGCGGAGCGGCTGTGATTCGCTGTGTGCCAGACGGCGTGTGTAAGTCACATGGGCGTGTGTCACGGTGTGTGTGCTGTCTTGTAGGTGTGTGTCCCCATCAGGTCTGACACTGTTGTGTGAAACTAATGGGAGCTTACGTTCAGGGCTCCTCTCCTCCCCCGGCTCCCCACTCCTCCCCGGGTGCTGACGCCCGCGGCCTGCCCACCGACCCAGGTGGCAAGGCCAGGGCCCAGGGGCACCTGGTGGCCGGGACGGCGCCCGGGCAGGTACCGGGCAGGGGGCGGGGGGGGGGCGGGGGGCGGGAGCGGGCTCTGTCCCCCGCCAGCCTCCCAGGCTCGGGTCTCACGCCCAGCCCGTCCCCCAGCAGACCCGGCGGCCCTCGCCACGCGGCACGGGGCGCACGGACAGGGCGGACCCGGGGGTCAGCCGCCCCCATCAGGACGGACGCCCCCGGGAGCCGGGACCCCGGACCTACTCCCGGGCTCGAAGTCCGCCGTCTCCTCCTCCCCTCCCGCCGGGCCCCCAGCCCCGGGCCCCGGCCCTCACCGCCGGCTGCGCTCTGGGCGCGGCGCTCCGCCGTCCCGGTCCGCAGCGTCCGGAGCCGCCTCCCGCCGCCGCTTCCGCCGAGCCCAGCACCCCCCGCCCGCGGCCGCGACGTCAGAGCCGGGGAGGGGCGGGAGGGGCGAGCGGGGCGGGGCGGGGGCTTCTGGAAGGCTCCGGAGGGGCCGGCGCGGGGCCGGCGCGGCGCCGCTGCGGCCCCGGGGCCAGTTTTCACTGGGTGCCCCCTGCGGGCTCCCCCACTGCCTGGGACCCTTCCGTGACCGCAGGGTGGGACCCCGGGGGGCAAGAGATTCGGGGTTTGGGCGGCCTGGCCTCGGGTCCTCTCCGCTGCGGTTTTGGTGCTCAGAAACCTCCCCCTTCTCGCGGGCTGGAGGCTTTGGGAAGAAGAGGGGCGGGTGGTAAGGGCCACGCAGCAGGGCCTCCTGCGCCCGCCTGAGCCCAGCAGCACCTGACCTCTCTCGGGGTGATGCCAACCCCAGTACTTCTCACCTTTCTCGGATGTACTGCCCTCCTGCCTTCCCCCCATCATGATGTAATTTTATTTTTCGGGGGGCGGGGGGGAAGTACATCAATGAGCTCAGCGTGCAAATATAGACAACGTGCAAAACCGCGCTGCTGTCTGCAGCTGTGCCCCTCTGCCCAGGCCTGGCAGGGTGCTCTCCCTTCCCCTCCTCCCCAGGGACTTTCCTCCCCAGATTCTCAGACAGAATGAAAGAAGGAAGGAAGCACTGGGGAAGCATCCGTTTTTTTTTCTGCCCCAGGGGTCCTTGCCTGGACTCTGGCAGAGTCTGGCCCTGGGAAGAGGCCTGAGCTTCACTAGTGCCTGTGCCAGCTCGGGAATGCCTGGCTATACTCGCCTCCTTTCCAGCCTGGCAGGAACTTCCCAGGAAGCCTGCTTGAGTTCATTTTCCTTGAGCCTGCACTGCCCTAGCAGAGGCGCAGGCTACCGCTGCTTTGCTCTTCTCTTTGCTCTTCATCCTGTCCCACTTGTGTCCTGGCTGCCCCTGTCATAGTAGCACTCATCTGCCTTTGTTCTGGGTGGTAGGTAAGAAAATGATTCCGCTCACCCATTTTTGAGATTCTCAGGTCTTCCAGAGGTGACAAGGGTGGGCCTTGGCTTCATGCTGGCTCTGCTCCTTTCCTGGCCCGGTTATCCCTCTGAGCCCCTATCCTTGCTGTTTCCATGAGGATGCCAGTGTCCGTCCTACAGGGGGTTTCTCCAGGGACTAGCACAGATGATGCTTAAAAAGTGGGAGCTGTTGCTCAGATAGGGACCTTCCTCCCACCAGTGCTGGACAGCACACGCACCCTGTTAGACTTCTGTCAGAGCACGCACACTGGAGGAACACAGGCTCTCTGCTCTCTGCATGCGCCCTCCCTCTCAGATCACCTTCTGGTTTGTCGGGTGAAGGTGAGACTCCCTAGCCTCAGGTCTCATTCTCCCATACTTCAAAATCTTTAGGGTCTCGGGCCTCCCCGGTAGCACAGCGGTTGAGCGCTGGGTTGCGAAGCTGCCTGCAGCCTCTGCGGCGCCGGTTCGATCCCCGGCTGCTCCCCGGCCACCAGAGGAGGGTCCCGCATGGCGCACAGACCTCTCCTGCTGCCCGCTGCTCCCCTCAGCAGTGTATCTCGGTCCTTCTGCCTGCTCTGCTCCCCGCTCTGGCTCTGGTGAATTCTCTCACCCTCCCGCGCTTCTGACTGTACCCAGTGCTTGTATAAATAAATAAATTAATTAAAAAAAAATCTTTAGGGTCTCCCATGAAGGTTCATATCCCTGACCCACAAAAACTGATACCTGTTTCAGGTGTCTTCAGGGCCTGCTCCCCGCTCCAACTCTTTCATTCTTACCCCCACCTAGGCCTGCTGGACAGAATTTGATCCTTCCTGCTGGGCAGTCCTTCAGGGTCCAGGTCTGTGACTCCAATTGCTTGAATGTCTCCTGTCCTTTTCCCAGGACACCAGCTGGGTTGGTGTTCTCCCAGTGTCCCTGTGTTTATTCCATTGGTCTCTGACAATCAGAGTGGGCAACCTCCCTCTGTGTCTCCATCACCTCTCCTCCCTTCCCCACCCTGCCCATAACAGCTGGATGAAATTCAAACACCTCTGCAACCCCTATGCGGCCTGTTCCTTTCCTGGAGACAAACTGGCAACTAAACTGGGACCTCTCTTCTTGCCTCTCTGGTCTGCTCTGTGTCCCAAATGTGACTCACATTCTGCCAGTGTTTTTGATGTTTCCACCAACTGGAATGTCCCTTCCCCCACCCCTATAGCCCACCCCCTCCACACACATCAAATCCTGCTGTTAATATATGGCCTAGAAAATGCCCCCTTCCATTATGAGACCATCAAAGCTCACTCTGACCTTAGTGCATTTCTGTTTGTTTCTCCTTTTAACAGACACCTAATAGGGACTACTTTGTGTGTGCCCAGTGCCAGGGACACAGAGAAAAGGCCTTGGGTTCCTGCCTTCAAGGGCACCGCCCGGGGGGGGAGACAGGTTGGGAATGGAGACATCATTGAAGGGAGTGTGCTGGGACTGAAGGCAGGGGTGTGGAGAGCAGCAGAACCTGGAGTGGGAGCTGTGGGAGGGCCTGGGAAGGCCTGCCAGAGGAAGTGTTCTTGGGGCCTATCCTGAAGTTCACGTAAGAGCTGCAAGGGAGGGTGCTGTTGGCACTCATCACCTAGTTACATTTTGCTTTGTGTCTTCTTTCAAGCATTTAGTGTGCTTGCCTTGACACCCCAGGGAGGTTAATCAGCCCGATAGCAGGGATAGTCCCAGCACTGCCTGTCCTCTCTGAGCACGCCAGCGCTGCTGGACAAACACCATGTGTTCAGAAAAGGCTTGTTGACTGGAAGCAGATAAATAATCCAGGCTTTTCCAGCATAAGCAGGCAAGGGAGCCCTCCTCTCCCTCCCTCTCATGGTCCTGAGCAAGCATGACCATCTAGACCTCCTCCTTGCTGCTCCCTCCTGCCCGGGGCGAGACCTCTTCCACAGACACTTGCTCGCGCTGCCCCAGATCCTTTATTGAGGCCTCTCTTTTGACCCAAATACATTAATAAGAGATTGCGGCGACACAGCCCCAGACACAGGGCCTCCCTCCCTTCAGGGTAGGACAGACAGAAGGACGGGGTTCGAGGGGCAGGAGGGTTTGCACATGTGGAGGGAATCCAAGTGAAATGGGCCCAAAGATATGGCAAGAGGAAAAGCACCAGAAAGAATGTGGGGGGGTGATGGACAAGCAATCACGGGTGTGGGCGTGTGCAATAGGAAACAGCTGTTGGGAGATGGCTGGACTGATGTGGAGGGAAGGGGCTTCTTCCCTCAACAGCTGGAGGATCCCGGGGGACCCCACAGGGCCCTGTGGCAGGAAACAAGCCAGGGAGCCTGGAGGAACTGAAGATAGGCTGGGAAGCAAGAGGGTGAGAGGATGGCAGGTGGCTCTGGAGATTCCACGCGGCAGCTAGTCGTCATCATCATCGTCATCATCGTCATCGTCATCCTCTGTGTTGATCTCGCCTTCCAGCACGTCCTCCAGCCAGTCCTCCAGCTCATCAGCTGAGGGCAGGTCCTCCTCATTGTCCATCTCCATCCATATGCTGTCCGCCTGGGACACGGTAGGACAGGACAGAAGTGAGCCCCTCTCCCCTGTGTATCCTCCCACGTCCCCTCTGTTCCTCTCCTGCTTCTGCCAACAGCCAAGGAATGGTCCAGAGGAGGGTCAGGTTGGAACAGCAATAGCAGGAGGGAAGAAACAACTGGATGGGCAAGTCTGCCTTCTTCCTTCTGTCCTATACTCCGCACCTGGCAGGAGCAGCTTCCTAGCAGACCTCTCTGTCCCTCTGCAAACCACTGTGGCTCCTCGTGGCCTGGACAGTCAAGTCAGGGCCGCTCTGTCTGGGCTTTCAGGTCTCCCGTCTCCAGTGCAGCCTGCAGACATCTTGAGACTTGGGCCATAAAAAACAAGTTGCCTGTTCCCAATCCTGTATTCATTTCCCTGCTTTTGACAGTGCGCGCTGACTTTTCCATCAGTCTGCAAGTGATTTCTCATTGTGTTCACCTGCAGAATTCTGTGCGGCGTCCACATTACATGCCACTCCTTGGAACCACACTCTGTTCTCTCCAGCAGAAGTCACTTTGACTTCTGCGCCTTGTGAACATTTTATTTGTATCTCTATTATCGAGTTATCAGATCTATAGTTAATGGAATTCCTGTCTCCCCAGTTACACTGAGAATTATTTGAAAGCAGAGACTATGACTTACTCAGTTTAACTCAACAAACACCTTTGAAGCACCTGCTGTGTGTGAACAAGATCTCTACCCTCAGAAAATTTGATCTAGGACGAGGTAGACATGAAAAGCCATTAAGAGTGTGTCCTCAGTGCCAGTGGACTGTGGGGGTGCTATGAAGGAAATGATTCCAAATGGGAGACCAGGAGGGACCTCGTGGAGGTGAGGTTTGAGCTGGACTTTGGAGAATGAGCAGCCATTCCAGCGCATGGAGGCTTGTGTTTGGGGTGAACCTCTCCCCCCCTCAGCCCTGGAGGGGGCAGGTCCAGGTCCTCTGGGAAGGGCTTGAAGTTGAGGGGAGCTGGCCATGCCGGGAGCAGAGTTAGGATCAGAGGGTATGAGGGAAGGACACTCACATCGGTGACATTAACGACTCCGATTTGGGGGGCTGACAGGTCGATGTCGAATGTCTTCTCCCAATATGGAACCAGCTGCAGAGAGACCACAGGGCAGCTCAGTGGCATGCAGGGTCGCGAGTGTGAGGTCAGGCCAGGAGCAAGGGAGCGACAGTCCAGCTGCAGGGCTCAGCACTTGGGGATTGCTCAGCAGTTAACGAGCCAAAATCCCAAAGGGAAAGCAAAGGGAGGGTCAGCTGGGCCGCTGCCTCCCCTCACTGAGGAAAACTAGGTAGGAAACCCCTCTTCTGAAGAGGGGATCTGCTACCAAGGGGCCCTGTGATTTGGAGCAAGTCTTCTCCTGGCCCCACATTCTCTCTCGCCCAGGCAGTTAATGCGAGTAGTGGCCACTTGCATTTCGTGTTCATTCAGTGACTCCGCAATGGGTGCTCTGAGTGTTGGGATGCAGCAGGGAACAACGCCATATGTCTGGTTGTGTGTACCCACATGCAGGCTAATAGGCCCACCTGCTCCCCAAACTCTGGATTTCTCTAGAAGGAGCCAGCCCAGGGCACCTGGGCTCCCTGTGCCATTAATGTGCATGCGATTCAGGTTGCACCCTGCTCCTGTCTTGGTGTACCCTCCCTGCCCACAGTGCCCTGGGCATAAGCAGGGCAGGGACCCTAAAGCCAGCTCCACCTCAGTGAGTCAGGTCCCTCCCTGTCCCAAGGACAGCAGTGCCCAAGTGAGCCTCTCACCAGAGGGAAGTCATCAGGGTCGATCCAGACGATGCTCAGATCAGGGTTGTCAGTGTTGTCCTGGGCCACGGCCTTGAGGGTCTCTAAGAACTCATAGCCATCTAGGAGGGGACACCATGGCAAGGGTGAGCTCCGTAGCCATCTAGGAGGGGACACCAGAGGTGCCAGAGCCCGTTTCCCCCCACGACTCCCCACAACCTGAGTCTAGGCAGGGGCACCTGTGAATGCCCCTGAATCCCTCCGGTGAGGCCCATCTCCCTTGTCACCAGTGCTCCCCCATCCAGCCTCCCTGCTCACCAGGATCTGCTTCCTCAGCAAAGGCCACAATGTGGATTCCGTCCATGTCATCCTCCTGGGGGGGACAGGCCTTAATGACGCTCCAGAAGCAAAGGCCCCCAAACTGCCCTCAATCCTCCTTGACCCTCAAGTTTGTGAATTTGTTTCTGGATCCGGTATATTACTGTGGAGTGACCTGTCTCCAAGTGGCACTGCCCCTTCAGTGTCCCCCCCGAGCTTCCACACCTCCTCTGCAAGCCCTTTGGCCCCAGAGTTTGGGGCTCCTCCCTTGTCATCTTCATGAAAGTATGTGTGACAGCCTCAAATTTTGTGGGGTGATGTCTCTCCTTCAAGCTGAGCGTGAGGAGAAGCTTCTGGAACGTGAGTCTGCAGCCACCCCTGCTGCCCGAGGCTCTGGCCCATCCAGGGACACTCACCCAGGTCTCATACATACTCTCAGGCTTCAGTTTCCTCAGGGTTGATCTAGAAGAGACAGAGAGTCACCATTCTGGGGGCGAGAAGGATGTGCCCCTCTCCAGAGGGGCTCCACTACAGAGGCCCCTTCTGGGCCGCATCCAGGACACAGGCCACTTGTAGCCCAGAGAAGAGCCAGCCGGCAAAATCTGAGCTCCAGGCACCAGGTCCAGGCCACTGTGTGGTTAGCGCAGTGGGACAGCGAGGGCAGCCAGGGGACTGGAGAGAGCCGGGCAGGTGTGCACTCATTCACTCACTCATCCTTCCTCTCGTTCGTTCTGAGTACAGGTGCGTATCAGTGCACTAGGCACTGGGGGTCTGTGTAGGCTGTCTAGCAGCGCCCCAGTCCCTGCCCGCTAAATACTACACCTCCACACGAAAATGTCTTCACACACTGCAGTTATGCCCTGGAGGGCAGGAATCTCCCCACCCCACCACTCCCCCACTCTGTCGAGAACCCCTGGTGTAGGGTATCGTGCGAGGAAGAACGCAGGCCAGGTCCCAGTGGAACCAGTTCTGACACTTACGACCCATAGACCCTCTTTAACCGATGTCAGGAGGATTCGATGTGACAACAGAGACAGAAGCACCTGCGGTTCTTGGCCAGCCCCAGCACTCAGGCCAACATGGCAGCGACCCCACCATGTGGGCAGGGCTACCAGCCAGCGTGCAGTGTCGCAGCGGGACACGTGTTAGTGAGCTCCAGTTTCTCCAGAGTCACTCCAGCCCCCCACCGCTGTCACAGCCAGGGTTCTGCTCCAGGAGGGGCATTCCTCTCACTGCCCCTGCCACTCCCAGTGCTCCCAGCCTCTGTGCTCTCATCGCCTATGTGCTCTCACCTGTGTGCTCCCACCTGTGCTCCCACCTCTTGTGCTCCCACCTCCTGTGCTCCCACCTCCTGTGGTCCCACCTGTGCTCCTACCTCCTGTGCTCCCACCTCCTGTGCTCCCACCTCCTGTGGTCCCACCTGTGCTCCCACCTTCTGTGCTCCCACCTCCTCTGCTCCTACCTGTGCGCCCACCTCCTCTGCTCCCACCTCCTGTGGTCCCACCTGTGCTCCTACCTCCTGTGCTCCCACCTCCTGTGGTCCCCACCTCCTGTGCTCCCACCTATGCTCCCACCTCCTGTGCTCTCACCTGCTGTGGCCCCACCTCCTCTGCTCCCACCTGTGCTCCCACCTCCTCTGCTCCCACCTGTGCTCCCACCTGTGCTCCCACCTGCTGTGCTCCCACCTCCTGTGGTCCCCACCTCCTGTGCTCCCACCTGTGCTCCCACCTCCTCTGCTCCTACCTGCTGTGGCCCCACCTCCTGTGCTCCCACCTGCTGTGGCCCCACCTCCTCTGCTCCCACCTGCTGTGGCCCCACCTCCTCTGCTCCCACCTGTGCTCCCACCTCCTGGGGCCCCGCCTCCTGTGGCCCACCTCCTGTGCTCCTCCACAAAGCTGACGATTTCCTCCACACTGTTGGGCTTGTCTGGGATGGTCACGGGCTCATCCATGAAGGCTTCGTAGAAGTCAATTTCATTCATTTTTAGGGTCAGCTTCTTTGCCACCTTGAGAGGGCGGGGGCAGGTGGAGGGGGAGGGGTTGTGGGGTCAGCAGGGTCTGCTCTTTGCCACCTTGGGCAGGGGTGTGGGGACAGGGACAGGGGGTCATGGTGAGAAGCAGGGTTTTAGGGGGCAGACAATAGGAAGGAACAGACCGCTTGTCACTTCTGGTGACATTAGACAAATGTCTTTGCTGGTCTGGGCTTTGGTGGACTGGGAGGGTGGGTTAGATACTTAACTGGGAACAGGGCGACCTAAGCAACTGGGGAATGTTGTGTGTGTGTGGGGCAGACCCATGGGCTCTGGGAAGGGGCTGGAGGCAGCTGAGGGAGTGGTGGGAAGCAGACAACCTTGCTGTCAAATGTGGCGAAGAAGGGGATATAGGGATGGAACTCCTCTGCGGCGTCCTCGAAGGCTTTGTAATCTGTGGGGGTGCAGAGTCAGTCTCGGGGACCAGAGCCCCTGAGAATCACCCCTCTGTCCTTCCCTACCCAGTTCTTTTTTGGAAGATGGATTTGTTCTGAGACCTACTCTTCCACCCTCTGGGGGTTACTTTGGGCTGGGGGTACAGAATACAGAATCCCAGAAGGGCTGTTGGGAGGGAGGGATAGAATGGGGGGGACATGACTGGGGGTCACAGAGTGTTGGGGGACCAGTCGGGGAGTGTGCAATATTGGAGGCCCTATAATGGGAGAGGGTGGGATGCTGAGGGCCTGTCTAGAGACCCCAGGTGCAGAGAGGTGGAGCCTTGGATGGAGCCAACTACGGGAGAGGACTTAGGACAGATGCTGAGCATCTGAGGAGGGGCAGGAGGGGGCAAAATGGGGTTCAGGGCAGAACATCGCAATAGGAGTGTCACCCACGCTCTGAGTCTTTGTTCTTGAAGTAACCGATGAGCTTGTTCTCATCCTCGATGTTTTCAAAGGCCTGAAGCTCTTTGTCCCCTTCAATCATCTCCACGGGGTCCTCCAGGACCTGGGGGCAGGGGGCCAGGGGTTAGTATCAATTTATAAGCCCCCAGGGGACAGGCGGGGGAGGGACTGGGATAAGGAGGGTTGGGGAAGGGAAGAAAAGCTGTTGATGGCGTGTGTGTGCGTGTGTGTGCATGTGTGTGCATTCACTGGGGTGTCCCGGGAAGGCTGGGCTGATCTGGGTGGGTGTGAAATCGCCACAAGCCCGCATGGTCTGAGGGACGCTCACATCGAGCAGAAACTCCACCAGGGTGTCAGCAGCAAGCTCTCCATCATACTCGATGACTTCATCTCCCTTAAAGATATAAATGCTGTCCTCTTCCGTTAGTCCTGCGGGGTGGGGAGCAGAGGTGAGCTGTGACCTCAGCTTCTCCTCAGATCCAAGGGTGTGCCTCAGGCGCGTCCATCTCATGCACCTCCTCCCCTCCTGGCCCTCCTGCCCTGAAGCCCCGCTTTCTGTGCCTGGACCCTGCCCTGTTGGCTAACCTGGTCCCAGGGCTCTCTGGAGAGAAGCTGGATCAGCTAGGGTGTTCAGGGAGAGCGTGGGGAGATACAGGCTCTAGAATGTTCCTCTCACGCTCTGCCTGACACAGCTGAGACTAGGATTCGGATGTTCGGGTGTTCCTGTTGCCTCCTCTGAGGGCCAGTTTCCAGTGCAGCCCTCAGGGCTTGGCTATTCCTGACCACTGACTTCATCCCGGCCCCTCCCCCACCCAGGGCTGCTTGCAGCGGGTGCTGCCCCCTGGAGGCGGTGGCTATGGCACTGGGCGGAAGGGCAGTGGCACAGGGGCCTGTCAGCCCTCAGCCCTGTTTTTAGGCCACCCCACCTCTCTCTGGTATTGGAGAATGAGTTTCTATGAGGAATAAAGGGGAGGTCCCGGCCTTAATCCTCCCTCTTTCGGTATTTTCTCCCTGCTTTCCCAGTAGCGCGCAGGGGCCCCAGCCCAGCCTAGCCTGCAAGGCACCAGTCCTCCAGGGAAGGGAGGTCTCCCCAGCACTCCTGCCACCGCCCCCCCCCATCCCTCCCTTACCCAGCTTCTTGGCTACGGCCGCATCCTTCTCAGAGTCCACCAGTCCGAAGCCAATACCCTTGTCTTCCAGGACTTGGGCCGCCAGCTGGAGAAAGGGTCAGGGTTAAAACCCTGCAGTTCTTGGTAACCCACTTCTCACCTCACGCTTCCAGGTTGAGTCCCTTGGGATGCAGGGGACAGGAGTTGACCTTGACCCTGCGCTGGGATGCAGGGCATCTCTACTTTCCCTACAACCCATGCATTTGATCTTTCATTCACTTTTAATCCCAGAACATTGTTCACCTACAATGTGTTTATTACACTGAACTTCAAGATACTCTGTGTAAGGTCCTGGGTCTGCCTTCTGAGGGCCTGGGCCCTTCCCTGCTCAGGCCCAGTCCTACACTCCACTGTGGTCCAAGGCTGCGCTCAGGGTGGGCATAATGTTGTAAGTCCCCGGGTTCTTCCAAGTGATGCCCAGTGGCAAGAATTTTGGAGGGCAGGGAAGTGGTGGGGGTTTTACTGGGGAGTGGAGAACACTAGGGCCAGAGGTTGCCTCCAAGGAAGAGACAGGCAGACCAGAGGTGAGAAGGCCAGGCCCTGCTTCTCCCCTGGCAGAATCCCCTTCGCTCTACCCCAGCTGTTCCTTGCAGTGTCCCTGGCCCCAGCCAGGCTCTCCTGCATTCACTGCCTTGCCCACCCAGCACAGACGGCTGGGCGCTCAGGACAGGAAGGCTGGTGGCAGGTGTGTGGCCGGGGATGCTGAGCATGCAGTATAAAAATACTCAGCTCATTAGTCCAGGGCGGGTTCCAGTTCTTGCAGGGGTGCAGAGAAATGAGATCCTTTGAACCTCCAAACTCAGAGCAAGCTGGGGCCCATGTGTGCCCCCAGCAGGAGAAGGAGTGCCTGAGCATGGACAGGGATGATAACACTGGGGGGTGGGGGTGGCCATGTCTCCTAATCACTCTGACAACCCCTCTCTCCTTGGCCCTGAAGTCAGCTCAGGGGTGAGGGGTCTTCCCACAGGTGAAGGTGGGGAGGTGTCTGAAGCCTCCTTCAGCCACAGAGCTTTCCAGTCTGGGTGTCAGCTGGATCCAGTGGGGCAGGGGGGCACTACGGGGAGGTGGGGCCTGGGGTAGATGGGAGTGTGGTGGTCTCTGTTACATACATGACGTGCAAATCAGATGTGGATCTCAAATAAGTTTATACAGCTTCGGTGAAGTGGCCCCTAAAGTGACCACAAAAGTAGGTCTGGAAGTGCAACATGCTCCAGTCCTATTTCCCCTAAAGAACCTCCTTTTCCCTCCTTTGCCCCCTCCAGATGCAACCACACCTATTACTGCCAGCCTCAGAGACCCCCCTCTATCGCCCCTCCCCCCGATATTGGGAAGCTTGGGAAACTTGGTGGCACTCTGGTTCCAGACTTAGCTAAGGCCACATGGTGCTGCGTTCTGTCATCAGATGCCCCTTGACCCAGGCCTCCTGGAAGATCTGTCTGGGGTGTAGGAGGGATTTCAGGGCGGGGTTCAGGTATCCTGCAGGCCCACAGACCCCACTCACCTCTAGAATCAGCTCCTCCATCTCAAACTGTCTCTGGGAGGCCTTGTCATCCTCGGGCGGCTCGTGGTAGAGCAGTGCCATCACCTCATACTTCTTGAATATATTCTTGTAGTTCTTCGCGTTGACATTCACCACGCGGTCCACACCATCGTACGCAGGAAAGTCCAGCCCTTCCTCCCCCTGCACCCCTGACTGGGGTGTCCCCAGCACCAGCAGCACTAGCAGCACCAGCTGCAGCCCTGGCCTGGCCCTGGCCCCCATCCTGCCTGCAGCACACGTGGTGGGAGCGGGTCTGGGGTGGCTCTTCTGGTCCAGAGGAGTGGGCTGCAGCAGGGAGGGCCCCAAGGTCCGGAATCCCGAGTTAGGGGCTCAAGTTGGGGGTGGGGTGGGGAACAGCCCAGAGCAGTGGTTGGAGGGCACTGCTGGGTCCTAGGGAAACTGCCGACAGGGCCAAGAGGAAAAGGGTCAGGAGGCGGACTGGGGCGGGGGTGGGGAGGGAACCGGAGCTGCCCGACACTGGCACCCTCGGCCCCACCTGGCCCTGTCTAAATATGTCTCAGGGTTGGCAGGAGAGACAGATAACCTTCTGAGGCCAGGACAGCTCTGCAAGGCCTCAGCCCTCTCAACTCCCACACCCCTCACCCGGGCTTCCAGAGGTACCTTCCCCACCCCCGCCCCAGTGTGCAGGGCTGCTCAGCCCCTGTCCCCACACTGCCCAAGAACTCATCGCCATATTAAGAAAGGAAAAAGCCAGCGCTAAAAATAAGACCAGATGAGTCGGAGGTAAGTGAAGCTGGGAGGGCGGGGTGTGTATTGGGGGAGCCGAGGAAGGCACTCAGAGAGGAGGAAATAGGGCAAGAGAAGGGGTGGCCTGGGTCAGAGGTCAGCTGGCGATACCGGACCAAGAGGGCAAATGTGTGCTGACTCTCAGTCCCAAGACCCAGCTGTCTGCACCCCCCTGCACCCCGCGGCGCCTGTGCTCTGGTCCTGTGGAGGAGAGGGGCGAGGAAAACTCTGTAGGCCGTGGGCAGGAGACCCTGCAATTCCCTCTAAAGAAGATGAGCTCATCCTCTGGATAAAAGTGGGCCTCATCCCAGAGGCACCTGGCGCAGCTCCAGCCAGTCTCCTTTGCCCACTTGCCACTCCTGACCAGGGTGTGGACAGGGCTGGACCTCGTCCCCCTGCAGACACGCCAATTCGGTTCTCTGCCCCGAGGCCACTGCCTCCTGCTCAGCTCTTCGCTCTGATCCACGGGACAGTGGGGAGGGAGGAGTCCTCCGCTGAGTGAGTCCCAGGCGGGCTGTAGCGACCATTCATTTCCAGGTCTTTGACAAGACCTAGAGGATCTGAAATAAACCAGGGGAAAATTCACCAACCTTGGAAACATGAGGAAAGAGGTGCACCCTGCGCCCCAAGCCAGGTGGTCTAGGAGCTCTCCCTAGGAGCCAGGCAGAGTTGTCAGGGGACTTGACCCCAGCTTGGAGGGGAGGGTGGGCGGGACAAGCTTGGCTCTGGGTGCCCAGGAAAGCAGGGGCCTCTCCACTGTCCGCCTGGGCTCTTACCATGCGCACTTCACCACAGAGGCACGGGGAGGCCATGGAGGCCAACGTCTGCAGCCCCCAACCCCACCCTGAGGTGTCTGATTTTGGAGACACTGTGCTTATTTTGCTCCTAGGTCGGGGCATGGAATGAAGTTATAGGAATAACTTCCCACACTCTTATGGGCAGAGCTCAGGCAGTCCATCATGGTGCCTCTCCAGAATGTGCAGGAGAGGGCCCCAGGGGGCGTCGTTCTGAGCAGGAGCGCCAGGGCTGGGCGCTGTAGCCTGTTGGAGCTGAGGTGGCTGCGGGACCCACTTCTGGCCTCCTGGGGGGTGGTAGTGGCTGGCATGCTCATGGCAGATGGGCAGACCACCCAGCAGTGGGCAATGCCCTGATTTCTCACTTCTGGGGGAGAGGGACACTCTTGGGCAGATGTTGGCACATTGGACTTACTCCAGCATGAATCTAACGATTTGTCCCCCCTGAGGAGGTAAAGTGGGCAGCATGGTGGCTAGTCCGGCTCTGTTTCCTCATCCACTCCTGCAGCTGTCGGGGTCCTGTCCACCCTGCACTGCGGTTCCTCCATGCCCCTTCCAGCTCCCCTTTCCCATCAACCCCCATGACATGGAGCTCTCTGCTCTCTTCTCAGCCCCTTCCCTCTCTCTGGGCCTCTGCTTTGGGTCCTTGGGCTTAGCAAGCCTCAGTCACTGGGATCAAATGACCCTGATTTGGGGCCTCTGTATTTTTAACCCACCAGCCACCCAAGCCTCCCGTACTGAAACCCGAGGAGCGGCCCCTCCATCCCCCCCTCCCCACCTCCCTCTCACACATACCTGACCCTCCATCCTCCAGGATCTGGTTCAGCCTTGTCAGCAGTCAGGAAGGACCCCACTCTGATGAAGCCTGTCCCTAGGAGACCTCTGAGGGGGGGGTCAGTGTGGGAAGAGTGGCTGGCTCTACCTCGCGGTGGCCTTCCCTTAGCTGGCCGAGGCTGCTCTTCTTCCAGACCCTGTGCAGCCCTCCCTCAGCCGGAGCCAGGCAGCCAGCTGGTGAGGGGGACGGAGGAGCCAGCGGGTGGGCAGGAGAGAGGGCTCCTGGGCACCCTTCCGCCATCAAACAGGCTTTGGGAATAGCTTTCACCCCGGGGAGACTGCAGCAACCAGGAGCTCCATGGGGGCAGGTGCTTCACCTAAAGTCGGGGGGATTCAGAGATTCTAAGACCTCCACCACTTCAAGGTCATCCCAGAGAAGACCACCTTCCCTTCCCCAGAGGAGGCCTGTGCCCCCTATTTAACCACCCATCACATGGCCCTTCCCAGTCACCTCTCTGGAGCACAGACTGTGTTGTCAATGAAACAAGGTCTCTCACAGTGCACAGCTCTGGGATTCCATAAACTCATCTGAGAAACTGAAGCGGTTGGGGGCTGAGTCCCCCAACCAGCACCAGAGGTGGGGGCTCCTCTGTTCCTCTCTGCCCTTCCATTTCTCTGATCCTGACTTGACTTGTCCATAGGATCAAAATGGATTCCAGGATGGTGAGAGGCTGCAGGGGACAAGGCTGCTTGATTGTAACCCCTCTCAGCTGATATTCCCCTGCCTGCTCCCGTGGGTTCACGTAGGGAGGTCGCCGAAGTCCCCATGCTCAAAAATCAGACAGACACATCGGCAGACGAGAGCTGTTCAACATTTATTTCTGACCGGCTGCCTATCAAGACAGTGCCCTCTCCACCCGGGCCCTTGGCTGCAGGCTCACCACCACTGCCTGCCCCTAGTGCCCCCATCTCAGCCCAGAGCGGCTGGCTCTCATCCAAGGTCAATCCTCCTAAGCTCTCCCGGTCCAGCTCACATGCCCTCTCCGTTGTCAGTGCAGACCCATACCCCTAGACCCCTCCTGAAACCCGGTGTTCACATGGAGCTTTCGCTGCTGAATCTAGTAGTAGGTCTCCAACTCCAGCCAGCCTGCCAGAGAAGGGACCAGCGTGAATTGGAGAGAGCTGGGGGTGGACAGGTGGCTTGGGGGAATGAGAGCAAGGGGTAGCAGAGGGCAGGGAGCATGGCAATAGGGAACATGGGAGAAGGCACAGGGGGGCAGGGGGCACGCAGGATGGGCACAAGGGGAGGCACAGGGCAGAGGGAGGCGGCCTCACCACCAGGACGCATCCGGATGATGAGTTTCCTGATTTCATCATAGATGAAGATGAGGACGCTGTAGGGGAGGGCGCAGCACCACCATAATATCCTGCAGGAGAAGGAGAGCTGTCAGTGGGAGGAGCTGTGGGGCAGGGGTAGGAGAGGGGCCGGTGCAGAGGGAGCACAGGGCGAGTGTGTGCCTATTGTGCTCACTGGGTGCCGGGCTGTGCTGGGTGCAGCGGGGTGGTGGTGGGGGCAAGCGGTCTTGGAGGAGGGCAGAGCCTGGGCTGTGGGGTAAAGGCCCACGGCAGCAGCAAGGGAAGCAATGATAATGGACTGTGAGAAGTGTGGTGTTGGGGGTACCCACAGTGCTCAACGGAGGTCACATGGGGTTGATAAGGGGACCCACCTACATCCTAGGCACTCCAGGCCACTCCCCCACAAAGGAGAGGTCAGAGCAGGATGGGTCTGAGACTAGAGCCACGGCAGCTTTCGCCAGCGGACATACACTCTCCTCTCATTGCAAAGGAGAGGATGGTGTTCCCTGCCTGATGCTCTTCTATAATTTGAAAACAGGAAGATGACCCCGGAGGGGCTGACCCAGAACCACGTCTATGTCTTGGACGGTCTAGGCCATCTCGGCCTGGACCAGTGTTGCCCTATAGACATATATAATGAACAATCTTTGTTAGCAACCACATTAAAGAAAGTAAAAACAAATAAGCAAAAACAGGTGCTATTAATGTTAATAATATATTTTATTTAACTGATTAAAAGATATTACCATCTCAACATGTAATTGATATATTGAGATTGTTAACATTCTTCTTTGTAATCCTGTCTTCGAAACCCAGTGAGTATTTTACACTGACAGCCCATCTCAACTCAGACATTAACTTTTCGATGGTTAAAGAGAAATGTAGTCTGACCCAAACAACAAGGCATTTAATATAATAGTTGACACAGCTTTCATTTTTATTTTTAAATTAACTAAAATATCAAATTCAGTTCCTCAGTCTCACTCTCCAGACTTTAAGAGCTCAGCAGCCACCTAAGTGCAGCAGTTTTAGGACTGGACGGCACAGGGCTAGGCCATGGTTCGTGGCACGCGCAAACACACACACAAACACACACACACACATACACACACACCCCAAAAGACACACGCACATAGTCACCACTCAACAGCAGCCTTTAGTGTTTACTCTGGCCGTGTTGGGTCCTGGGTAAATAACCACGATGACAGATGGTCTTGGTTTTCAAGGAGCTCAGGGGAAAGAGGACACATAAACACACAAAATAAACAGTCTCAACATTAGGTGAGGAGTTTTGTGGTCAAGACACACACAGAGGGTTTGGGAGCACGGTTATACTCAGCTGCACTTACCAGCCCTTTATGTCGACATCAGCAGCAGCAACTATAGTCACTACCAACAGAGCCCCCACCCCACCCGAGCTCTGCTCTGCTCACCACCTGCGGGTGTGCATAACAGAGACTTCACCGGGGAGCCTGAGGCTCAGCATGTAATGTCCTTGTCCAAGTGCCCAGGAGACTGGAAATTCAAACCTGAGATTGTCACTATCTAAGGCGGGGCTGTGTCTCTTATTAAACATTAATTGAGCACCTGCATTGGACAGAGCATCATGCAAATCGCAGCAAGGCAGAGGAGAAGTGTGCGTACCCACAGAGCATGCGTGGGAGGGGCGTGCCCTAAGCTGGTGGTGAAGTTGGGGTGGGAATTTTGCTTTTTCTCTGTCA